ATCTTTATATTTATATTTATAGAAATTTCTCTATTAGCTTAAAAAAATATATATTTTATTTTATAAATACTTATATTTATATTTATAAAATTGTCATTATTACCTGACATAAATTTCAAGTTTAGCATAAATAATTATGTTTATAAATTCATAATATTTAATATATTATTTATAAATTCTTAGTTAAAATTATCAATAATTACATATATTTAATTTTACGCAACAAAACATGTTTTTTCTATTACAAATTTGTAAAATCAATAACTTCCATTCTTTTTTCTCAAATTTCATAATGTGCTAGAATACTATGTCTCATAGTCCTTTATTTAATTAATAATAAGTTTATTTTTAACAATAAAATATTTTCTTTACTCTTTTCTAATCATCACAATAATAAATATATAGAATTCGCTTATTTTTTACATTTATAACTTTATAGTATACTACTGTACATTTAAATTACATTTTTGTTGAAATATATATCATAATTGATATAATCTTTGTTAGTGTATTATATTTTATTAGTTTTTTTAATTAATCATGCAAAATTTTTATTTTTTTTTATGTTATTAATCTTTATAACATATTCTAATATTTTATAACATATTACATGAGTCATTAAAGTAGTATTATAAAATTAATAAAACTTAAATAAGTAAATTTATCAGACATAAAAAACCTATCTTTTTTACTTATTTTTTTTAAGTTTAAGTCCCACTTATATAAGTAAGTATTTCAAAAAGTTTAAATTTAGCATATTATTTAAATATGTTAGGTCAAGTTAAACTTTAAAAAGGCTAAGTCATAAGTTCTTGTTGGATAGTCTAATTTACATTTATCTTTAATTAAAACTACTACAAATATAATGTAAACATAAATATTTACATAAAAAACTTTATATAAGATAAGAAAAAAAATTATAAATAGAAGCATAAATATTTAGATCAATTTTGAAATTTATATAAGGTAATGGAAAAATTTTTGTAATTAAAACTAAATATTTACAAAAAGTATAAAAATTTATATAAAGTAATAAGAAGAAAAAATAAGCAACAACTTTAATTTTAAAAATTTGAAAAGAAACTTGTTTAGTAGCTGATTAAATGCATATGAATTTTATTTCAAAATAAATACATAAATAAATTAATAATTAAAGTACAATATTTTATATTTTTGTAATATATATATATATATATAATATAATTATTTTAAAGAGGAACTTTAAAAAATGTACTTTGAATAGCAAAAAAAATTGTATTTTAACTTAACTTTATAACTATAAATAGTATTAATCAAATTGATAAAGATTTAATAAAATAAAATAATTTTAAATATATTTTATTTTAAAATAATATATTTATCATATAATAATATTTAACTTTAAATATATTAATAATCATAAATTTAAGATATAATTTTCTTACAATTTGTATCTGTTATCAACTATCATTTATTAAGTAATAAATTAAAAAATTAAAGTTCAATTCATTATTGTTATGTTATCATTATGATGTAATATTTTAAGATTATTATATTTATTTTTCTTATAAAATAAGTATCTTTTGAAATTAATCCCTCTTAAAATGTTCTACATTGTTTAAGAATAGAGCCAAAATATTTTTTAGAAGGGTTTAGATAGTTCTTTTTTTATAAACTAACTTTTAAAAGAGTTAGGTCCAAGTTTTTTTAAAATGGTATCAAAATTTATTCAAATTGAATGTTGAACTATTCACAAATATCTAATCTTGTTGGGCCACCGCATAAATTCAATTCTACAAATTTTAAATATTTAACTTATCTTTAACACATAGTTATTTTTTAATAATTTAATTTTTAAAATTTAATATTGCAAAAAGTCTCTATTAACATTTAACAATTAATTCAAATGATTTTAATTTTTTTTACCTCCTCTTCTTCTCCATTTTTTCTAACCTAGAGACGAGAGTTAGTTCAACTCCTTTTCCTTTTTGCTTTATTTCTAACAACCTCATCCAAAGACTGATTTCAAACATTTTAAATATGCAAGGAATTAAATCTTAACATTTTTTCTAAAGACTAATAAGTTGATTAACAAATAAGTTGGTAAAATATAAAATTATTACAATAAAAAAGAATAATATACACATAATTTTTAGTTAATTTTAATCTTAAAATGATAAATTATAAAAAGTGTAACTCACCTAAATATTTCATTTCCAGCTAATAAGTTAACTTTTTCAAGTAAATTCCTCCGTAATCTAAATGGTTAAACCTCTTGCACTAATAAATGAGATTTTCTGTCCTTATTTGTTTACAAAGTCATTAACAACAAATTAAATAATATATAAGAAAAAATTAAATATAAATTGTATAAAATATTTTAGGTTTAAATAGTATTTTAGTTATTATATTTTATTCAAATTTATAAGTTAGTCTCTGCATATAAAAAATTTGTAAATCAATCCTTATAGGTACATTTATTCTTAATTTAGTCTCTGTCATTAAGTTTAAACAAATGTAAGTTAAATGTAGTTTTGTAATTTTGCAAGAGTCCTTTAGTTTGCATCTTGATTTTAATGATGTCGAGAGAATGGAGAAAGACGTAGATAAATGTGCTAGCAATTTTGTTGCTGGCAATGTCAATAAGGGTGCATTGTTGAGGGATTGAAGTTTAGGATGAGTGATGGTGAAGTAATTGAGAAGAGAAAGGAATTCAGTGAATTGTTGAGAGTTGGTTGAGTTTTGAGAAGATAAGAAAGGAAGAGACTCTGGGCTCCAATGAAGTTTATTTAAGGAAAGAAGAAGAATGGAAAGAGTAAAATTTGAGGTGAAGGCAAAGGGAGAGTGTGGGTGAGAGTGATGAAGTAATTGAGAATAGAAGGAAATTTGGTGAGAATTATTAAGAGATGGTTAAGTTTTTGGATGAAAGGCCAAGAGAGATTGAGAGATGGAAAAGCATAATAACTAGGAAAAAAAACGATATTACATACTTGTCTACACACATAGATATATATATTCCAAGTTAATACTTTGTTTATTTAATGTCATTTATTTTAAACTTAACGCTAAAAATTACATAAAAAATAAATATAAATATAGAAACTAATTTACAATTTTTTTATATGTAAAAATTTACTTATAAATCTAAGTTAAGTGTAGAGATCAAAATATAAGTTAAACTAATATTTTAAATAAATAAATCACTTTAAATTAAGTCTAAATAAAAATAAAAGAGTAAACAATTAAACTTATAACACTAAGTTTATTTTACTCTAAAAAAATTATTTATTAATATTACTCCTCTCACTGTTAAATAAAATACATGCAATAATCTTAATATTATTTATCAATATATATTTAAAATTAATTTTATTTATCTTTTATTGTAGGTTGACACCTCCCTCAATATCATTTATGAACTATTTAATTAAAAAAGCATTTTTTTTGTGTTTTTTACCTTTTAAGGTTTGTATAAAAATTAATAAAAATATATCTTCTTATTTTAAATATTTTTTACAAATTCTTAAAAATAAAAAAAAATGACAATTTTATAACTAAAAATAAAAAAACGTTTTCACAAATTAAACGCACCCTTAATTTTTCTAATTTACAATAGCATGGATAAGGTAATAAAGGATATTACTATATTGGCAATTTCAGTTTCTACGTTGAAATCCCTCCTGAGACATCTAAGAAAAGAAGAGAATACGATTTATTTTATCTTACAATTTACAAAAGCAATGTATGATGATCGACTCTAAAACTGCAAAAACTTTATTAGAGTAATTTTATCTCATTTTCCTTCTATATTTTAATTTTATTAAAAAATATTTATTATTAAAATATACCTAAAATATTTTTATTTTAAAATATATTTCACTTTTATTTAATTTTAATATTTCATTTAAAATAACTATTAGTCAATAGTCAACTATTATCTTTTATGTTAAAGTAATAGAAAATACTTTGACTAACTTTAAGCTCATTATACATTTTTTTTGTTTGGTTTTAAAGCATTACAAAATCTCCTTTCATATTTTATAAATAGCTTACAAGTAAAGTAATGTTATAATAAAAATTTAAAAGTATTAAATGCTTAAATGATACTTTTTAAAGTATTAGAATAATATAAGAAAATAAATAACAAAAATAATTGATTTTAAATCTTCAAAATTATCAAAATGCTTAAAAAAATATATTTACTTGCTCCCAAATAATTCCACATGATTTTTAGAATGATTTTTAAGGAATATCACTGTTTGATGATAAGCAATTTTAATAATTTGAACTATTTTGAAAATATAAAAATAGTTGATTACTCTATTTTTTTTAATTATAACGTGAGTTAAATTGTAAAATAATTATAGAATATGAGAAACGTTTTTGTAATGCTTAAAAAAGATAAAAGGTTTTGTATAATGAGTCCAAAATTAAATTTAGCATCTCTTTTACTACTGTATCACAAAATAAGAACAAATAACTATTTACTAATAGTTTTGTTAAATATGGTATTAAAATTAAACTGAAATATAATGTATTTTTAAAATAAAAATAATTTTGTATATTTTTTAAAATAAAGATAAATTTATATAAATTTTTAAAAAATTCTATAAAAAAATAAAACAGAAGAGAGATTAAAGGAATTTCTTCTAAAATTTAACAAACTCGTTCTTGTCGTTACATTGACCTTGGCGCTATCATACCAGGTACCGAGTAGCAACCATGAGAAAAACAAAAATCTCATGATGATAAATACAGGATATTAATCAGTATTCTTAAAATATCAGTTAAAAAAATTAAAAATTAATGATAAATACTATGTATATTAAGATTTTATAATAAAAAATTGAAATGATAATTTTAGAACATTAATTAACCTTTATCATAAACTAAATGAAGGAGAAATGGCCAAATGGAAAAACATAAATATGCGAGTGGAGTGAGCCCACGACTTGTATGTTGAAAACATTTGGTTCCACCCTTGCCCCACTTAAAAAAGGCTCGCAATCTACGAAGGCAATAAACATATCATTGATTGTAGAATACGTGGAAAGTGTTGGAGGCCATAAGTGTCATTTCGCATGAAATTCCCCATATAAAACTCGCCCAAAATGGAGAGAGAAAAGAGGGGTAGATAGAGAAAGAGAGGACCCGTATTTAGGAAAATACAATTGTCAATTGCTTCATCGTCCATTATTTTTTACGATTTGCTTATGATGTTGTGTTTTTGTCTGTTGAGAGCTTTTCACTTCAAAGTTCAAACCTTTCTGTGCGCAACAATTAGAATCCCTCGGCCCCTCGTCTCACGCATACTCTGTTAACTAAATTTATATTCTTTTTCGTAACAAACACCCCACCAAAACCAACCCAAAAAAACAAAACAAACACAACCTCTCACAAAACTACCATTTGCCCACAATCATCGCCGGAAAACCGCTTTTACTGCCTTGTCCCTCCATACCCGCATCGCCAAAACCGTTTTTCCTATACCCTAAAGCCTGTTTTCAAGCCCCCCTTAGGCATTTTTTCATCCCGTCTTCGCCGGGTTTCTCGGTCGCCGGAGAGTTTGGTGGCTTCTTTTTCACGAGGGCGGGGTTTGCTAACGTGAGCCGGGTGCATAGGATACTTATTATTTTTAAAACAAAAAGTTAAAGAGTGGCTGTGGTTTTTATCAGGGCGTACACGTGGACGGTGATGGGAACGGAGGTGATGGGGAGGTGGGGCACCTGGGAGGAGCTCCTCCTCGGTGGGGCCGTTCTTCGCCACGGTACCCGAGACTGGAACGTTGTCGCCGCCGAACTCCGAGCCCGAACAGTTTGTCCCTACACCTTTACTCCTGAGGTAAAAACATTAATAATTAAATAAATCAATTTGATTTTTCTTTTCTTATTCTCTATATTTTTCTCCCGAAAAAACATTTAGATTGCACATGCATTCAATATTTTACAGTTTCAATCCGAAATTCGTTGTTTATTTATTGTTTTCTTCATATAATGGGACACCACCTTGAGTAAAAAATCTTATATTAAATAAAAATATATGCAATTAATATTTTAGGAATAGAAAGTAAAACATTTAATAAAAAGAATTATTGTAAAGATTGATTGAAACGGCAAAGGAATTCTTTTTAAGAAAGAAATTTAAGAATTTTCATTGTAATTGGCAAGCTGCCCCGCATGGTCCTGGAATCTTCTAGGCTATTTTTCTATATTGGCGTTATAAATAAGGAAATACATTTTATGATGGGGGCATAAATGGAAATCCAAAATAACCTAGAAATAAGGATAAGGAGTAAAACCAAAAGCAGGTAGCCTAGGAAAATGAAATATTGATATTCAGGCAACGTTTTTCTAATTTAAAATGGAAACATATAATAACAGTTGATGCGTCAAAAATAGATATTTTAACGAGTCCTAAGTCGTAACCATTATGCGGGTCGTGAGCCATCTCTCTTGACTCGTTAAGCGATTTCGTTGCTTATAAATAATTCGGATCAGTCTAATAATAATAGTTGGTGCTTTTAAAAATGAACAAGAATGAAATATTAGTCAACGAATGTTTAAACCGCTTTATGGGTCGTTAAGAAAATGAAGGATTGTGACGCGTAGCCAATAGTAAAAAGTTATTGGACCTTGCTAAGTAAAGAATATTATTATTAACTAAAGACGCATTAAAGGAGTTTTAGGTTGACGATTCGGTGGACAACACTTGTCTTGTCCACAAGGGGTGGCATCCACGTGCCAATTGTTCTCCATTGGTAATGATCACTGAGGTGGCATACGTCCTTTTTGCCTTGTTTGTTCTGTGATATGTGATAAATGATAGGGCCGAATATCCCTTTGATTACTTTGCTGATGATCATCAGCACGAGACACACTAAATATTCTGCAAAACATCCTTGATTTCTGTCAAATATGCATAGGTTGAAAAACAGAAATAATTGAGGTACAACCGTATGGATTGATGTTCAATTGAAATTGAAGTTTTATTTTGGTACTATGTTTAATAAAGTTCAACATTAAAAATTAGTACTTGATAAATATTATTGAGTTGAAACTTTAACTTTGATCGAAGTACATCACTAATAGTACTTATTGTCCTTAAGGTTTATCCTTAAAAAATTCACAAGGACTAAACAATAGTAATATCATCTTAAATTTAGGTGTGAAACTTCCTCTTTAAAATTGGTATACGATAATTATATTTTGTCTTACGGTAGTTAACCGATGGGTGTCGTGGTTTAACTATATCTGTATAAAATTATCCATGATATCGTTAAAAGTATTATATAATGGGAATTTAAGCAACCAGCCTTACTTTGCCTACGTTGTATTATTGCTCAATAGCAACTTTTGCTTGGGTTCGGTTTGCTTTTATTTTCATTTCGTATACTTTCATTTTTAACTAGAAAAATGTTATCTTATTGTCACATTGTCTGTTGTTTCTATTATGTTTTGAAGGAAGTGAAAAACAAGATAATATTTTTGTAATATTAGTAAAAATATCTCGACTGAAAGTGAAAGCAAACTTGATAGAATTTTTTTTTTTTACATTTAGTGCTCTTATCCAACTTGAATCTGGATAAGGTCTGTCCAAACCAAACAACAACAAATTAAATAAGGTTGATTACATGGATCACACCGCTGTTAAATTCAGTTAAAAATTAAATTTACAGAAATTTAGTTAATTAAAAGGTCTCTTTTAATAATTTTATTTAAAATTCTTTTGAGTCTCCCTTGATCCATCTTTACATGACTAAGAGTCATGTAATACACTTTTTTTATTGGTGTCTCCAAAAGTTTTCTCTAAATATGATTAAACTACTTTAGATGTTTTTAGTCATCTTTTCTACTATTGGTGTTATTCTAATATTTGTATCTTGTCTTTTCTTATGTGTTCATTCATTTACCTTAGTATTCTCATTTTTGGTACTCCTACTTTTTTTTTATGTTGTTCCTTTAAGATCCAATATTCACTATCATACTGTTTTCTTTAAGGTCTAATATTCACGGCCATATAGGATAATTGGTTGTATTGCAATAAAGTAAAGCTTTCCTTTTAGCTTGATAGATACTTTAAGGTCACAAATAACTCTTGAAGTCTTTCTCCATTTTAACCACTCCACTTGTATTAAGTGACTAACATCTTCATTAATTTTTTCATTATTTTTGTTCAAACCAAAGATGAAAAATAAAATAAAATAACAAGACATTACGTTAAATTTTCTTTGGGTCAGTTGATGAGGCATATTTCCTAGTTTAGAGATATAATGTCGTTTTAACTTTAGTGTGAACTGTTTGATTTTCTTCTTAGTTCTTACTTTTCTTAAAAAAATGAAGGAAAAATATTTAGTGTGTTAATTGTTGTAGATATATTACTTTTGTAGGTCTGTAAAGCCAAATATGAAGACTTGCAACAACGGTATTCTGGGAGCACGTAAGTAGAATATACCCCTTACTTTTTTAATAAAATTTCCCATGTTCTTTCAGGATTTAGATGCACGTTGAAGATTCCATAGAAGTTTTATGTTGTATCTCATTGTATTATGGTAAAATGATATTCTCAGGGCTTGGTTTGAGGAGCTTAGGAAGACAAGAGTAGAAGAGCTGAAGAGGGCTCTGGAGCTATCTGAAGATTCAATTGGGTTAGTACTTAGTTGCATTTTTTTCTCAGCTGAGGTTTTTCCCATACTAGAATGGGGGTATGGGAAAGCTTTTGAACATGAATGGTACTTTAGAATTCACAGTCATGGTGTGGAAATGGGGGTAATTGTTGGAAAACTACTATGCTTTTATGGGTATAGTTTACACAATATCATTGTTTCAGGTCTCTCAAATCAAAGCTTGAATTCCTCAAGGCTGGGAAGATTGAGAAAAGAAACGATTGTCACACTCACAATGGCTCAGGTAGTACAGAATTACATGTACCATCACAGAAATTGGACAGAGTTGAATCTTTCACTAAAGAAACATCAAAGGATGGGCTATCCGCTGGGAGTTTCACACACGAAACCAGGACAAACTGGTCTTCTGAATGTCCGGTTCCAGCCGGATCTGCTGAAGATATGGAAACTAAACCGGAGGTTTCACACTCTAGTGAACAAGTTAAAGTTTTGAATGTAGATAAGTTGGCACATACTACATATGAAGGACAAGGCAGGTGTCTTAAGAAGCAGAGAGGGAAGAGGAAGAGGAAGGATTGTAGCAGGAATATTAAGGAAGCAAGTGTGGCAGAAAGTGACTTGTTAGATTCAGCTGATGTTTTATCCTGGTGTAAAGAAACTTCTACCAGTAACTGTGGTGAAGTTGCGAAATCTTGTGGCGCTGATGACCAAAATAGGAAGTTGAAAAAGGATGGGGCAGAAGACATGATGGAGATTTTAGATTCTATTTTTGAAACTAAAGGTGCCTCTGCCTTCCGTCGCAGACTAGATAGTCAGGTATGTGTAATAAAAATGTCTTATCTAATTCAAACTACAGCTATAGTTTATGTGTTTTCTCAGCATAAGGCTTTTGATTATTGGTCCCCTAGTTCTTAGATGCAGATGCTCTAGATTATTGCACTTTGACCTTTGCCTGTTAGCTTGTGATAGTTATTTTCTGTTCTCTTGGATGTGCTTGTTATGGTCAAAATACGATGGAAAGAGCGAAAATGAAGTGATTAGAATATTATATTTCAGTTAATAATTAATTTTCATCTATTTGAGAATAAAAAGTAGGCGTGATTCAGTGTTTAATAGTTCAAACAAAATATTTAATGGTCACAGAATTAGAAGTTATATATGAGAAGTTTTTATTGAAAATTGTAATATTTAATAGTATCAATGCATTGAATTGTATTCAGCTTTGTAATTTTCAATAAAAAATTTTCTTTTATAACTTCTTATCCTGGGCAACACAAATTAGAAAAATCGATATATTGCACACTAAGTTGCATATGCAGAATTTGCATCTTTGCATATTATTCCTTTTGAAACTATAAACAAATAAAGACATGACAAGTGGAGATTTAGTGCACTAAACAATCATTACTGCTACTTAACAACAGAAGAGAGGAAGGTACAAGAAAATGATCCGGCGGCACATGGACTTCGACACTATTAGGTCAAGAATTAGCAGCCAAACAATTAAGTCAACTATAGAACTTTTCCGAGACTTGCTGCTTCTCACTAACAATGCTTTAGTCTTCTACTCCAAGAGCACTCGTGAATACAAATCTGCTCTACTGTTGAGAGATATTGTCACCAAAAAAATGAGAGAGAGTTTGAAGGGTATGAGCAGCAAAACCAACACTGAAGCTAATGTACCTGTTAAATTACCTGTGCAAACTACTCATGTGAAACCAAGAAGCGTGCGCCCGGGCAACAGAAAAATTGTTGCAAAGGCAGTTGGTGGCAGCAACTCTGCGTCTGGGGTGTCACATGGAACCAAGAAACCTAGTAAAGTTGATTCTCCATCATCAGTGGAATCCTTAACTGTCAAGAAGAAAGCTTTTGGTCGACCAAAAAAGGTTGGTGGACGTGGTCAAAGGCCAGCAACACCAACGAAGGGAAAGAAAAGAGTTAGAACAAAGTGATAATAGTTCTTTTAACCAATAGGTTTACCTCTTTGTACAAATTTTGTACAAATGTTTTTTCCTTTTTGGTTAGATTTTTTTAGTTTGGCTTTGATGAAAGAGCAAGGTTGGTGCAACAAAGGAACTAGGATAAAACTAACTACCAATAGATGAAATAGTTTTAAAATATAGTAACTAATTTGGAGAAGTTTCCAATGGATGTAGTCTTTTTTTTCTTTTCTTTTGCCAACATTTAAATATTGTAAATTGCAAGTACCAATATTGAAGTTTACCAAATTAGATGGATGGTAAGTGATTAATGAGCATATTAATGCCGGCGATTAATTTGATCTGCTTATCACATTTTGTATTCATTATTCAATAAAAAATGAGTCTCATCCATTAACTGCAGCCTTGGGTTTTTTTTTCCTGAATGTCATAAAGTGACCTGTAGCATATAGAAATTTTTTGTTTCACAGAAGATTAAAATGGATAAATCAATATATCTGAAAATAACTTTTTATTAGGCAAACTTTTCTACTAAAGAAAATAGGAATGCAATGGTGTAGAAAAAATGAGAACAGCTTTGGCACAAGGCAATAAAAATTTTTACATTAAAATAGGAAAAGGAAAAAAGGATAATTAATGTGTTGATTCAATTTTATGTTATTTTATTTTTATTATTTGTATCTTTAATGCAACAATTGTTAGAAAAATAATTATTAAAGTGCTGGCGCTAAACTCGGTTTAAGATGGTGCTGTGAGAATTGGTTTGGACAAAAAGAAATTGGCAAATATGAAGATAAAAATAAATAACTTATTTTGATAAACAATACTAAAATATTTATTGAAATAAATTGAAAATAACTTATGAAAGTCAAATTATTTTTAATAAATTATTCATAAATACTTTCAAACAAGGTTTATATATAAAATGTGTCTTAATTTTAAAATAAGATTTTTTTCTTAAAAATGTATTTTTACTAATTAGTGGTTTTATTAAGTTGTGTGATTTGAATATTTATTTATTTTAATTTAATCTTAATTTTAATTAATCTTTTTCATATTTTAGTTAAAAGTTTTAAAAAATTTCTCTTCAATTTTTTTAGTATATATATTAATTTATTTTTATTTAATATAATAGTATATTTATTATCAATATCTACGAGGATTATTCTTTTTATAATTTATTGAACTTTAAAACAATTATGTTGTACATTTTAAACTTTTATTTAAAAAATAAAAACGTTAAAAAAACATTTGTTACACTTTATTTTATATCAACACAAGCATGTGTGTGTCTTCATAACACAAATCTAACAATAAAATTATAAAAAGAATTTATACTACTAAAATTGACTTATTTTTATAATTAAAAAATGTATTAGTGAATTAAAAAAAAAACTAAAAGGAATAGCTTATAAAAAAAAAATTTAAATTACTAAAAATTTTGGGAGAATAGGGAGGAGTTGATTTCTCTTTAAAATTTATAAGCTACAAACCTTCACTTCAAAAGATAACATATGGTGTTTTAATTGGAACATGTCACCCCATATATTTTATAATACAAATTCAATAAGTTGAACCATTCACCTACTTTATTACATGTTTGGAAACCTATTCTTGTGCTTTGAATTTTCATGCTATGATATAATCTTCTTGTTCTATTTATGATTTGTGTTTGTTATGAAGGTCTATTACTGATTTTACATTTCTTAACAATAATTAGTTTACTCGTCTCAACTTTTCTGATTAAAAAGATATTAAAAAATATGAAAGTATTTTCATGAAACAAATAAAAATGAAACGACACTAAAAAGATATCATACTTATTTTATTTTGTAATTAAAACTTTAGCACCAGAGAATGTCATTTTAGCCTAAATAAGATAAATTAGTCAAATTCATCAACGTATTTTATTTTACTTAATCAACTTTTTGAGTTTGATATTTTTTCTTTTGTGTAACTATAATTTTTTGTAGTTTTATTTTTTTATGTAAATATTAGTTTGATTGTTAAAATAATTTATTATTATGAGAGTTAATAAAATTGTATAAACTTACTTTTTCATTATATTTTGTTTATTAGATTAAAGGCGAAATTAGTATTTTCTTTCCTTAACTTTAGAATAAAATTCAATTTTATCCTTTAACTTTTTTTTTATTTAATTTCATTCTCAAAGTATTATTTTTTTCTCACGTTAATCCTTTCTAGCTCTGTTACTTAACCTAACATAAATGTCTTATGTAGTACTGAAGTGGCCTAACGTCATTTATTTAATTTCATGTGGACTTTTTTTTTTATTTAAGTTAAGGATTTGTGTACGTGGGTTTTCCCCTTCCGCTCTCCTTCCTCCTCCTTTGTCGTTCCTCCACCCTTTCCTGCCAACCCACTAGCTTTATCTCTCCCTCTCACAGCCCCTCATTTCCTTTTCCTGCAACTTTCCCTCCCTTCCCACAACCTTGTATTTCATCCTCCATTTCTTGTTCCTCTTCAACTCTCCCAAGCCTTCCTTCTCTTCTCTCATTCTTATTATTACAACCTCCTTTTCCCTTTCTTGTAACCCCCCTTTTTCAATATACCACTTTATTTTTGGTTCTACTATTTTACAAGATTGAGTTCTCTTTTTAACATTGAGATAAAAAGGTAATTAACTTAAAATTAAACGCAACCTAAAAGTTTATTCAATCTGCAAATTCAAGCTCTTCAGGACATTCAAACTTCTTTATGCTCTGTATTAAGGTAAATTAATAACCAACAAATAATAATTTTACAAGTGAAAAATATCAACAACTTTCACAACTTGCAAGTGGTGAGAGTAACAACTTGAAATTAATTCAAAAGATGAATATTAAATTTACAAGATGTGGATAAACCCTATCAAGAACTATTCGAAACAAACTTATAACAAGTTATCTCTAGAAATGAGAACAAAAAGAGAGAAAAAAAGACTTGGGAAAGTTGAAGGGAACAAGAAAGGGAGGATGAAACGTAGGGGGTTGTGAGACGAGAAGAGAAGTTATAGTAAAGAGAAATGAGGAGTTGCAGGAGAGAGAGATAGAGCTAGTGGGTTGGAGAGCAGCAGGAGGAGGAAAAAGGAGGAGAGGAGGGGAAGGAGAAAGTCCACGTACACAAATACTTAAATAAAAAAATTTACATATAATTAAATAAATAACGTTAAGTCATTTTAAGATCACATATGACACTTTAACAACATGAGAAAAAAAAATACTTTAAAAATAAAAATTGAATAAAAAAGTTAGAAGACAAAATCGAATTTTATTCTAAAATTAAGAAATGAAAAAATTAATTTTATCTTAATCAAAATTAAAAAATTATTGAATTGAAAGAGGTAGATTAGGAAGACCTAGAATAGAAAAGTTTTTTTTTTACCTTTACATATTATTACATTGTTGCTTCTTATTTCTATTGTCAGCACTTAGCATTCAAGGATTATTTCTGCACCAATTTTACAGTTGATATTGTTGTCACTTTTACTGACACTATTATAAATTGTTATTAAACTTCATCTAGAATAATAACCATCATTGTCATGATAACTTTTACTCTATCTATCATTATAGTTGTTATCTTTTATAATGACAATAGTAATTATATACAGTTTATATTATTACCTATTGAATTATTTGATGCATGTCAAACACGATAAGAACTTATCCTAGTCGCATCGCTTTTTATTCTTATATAATTTTCTGATCATATCCATCCTCATGTTATTATTATCATTAAACAGGGTCTAAAAGTTTTTGTACTAAAAATATGAACATGGGCACTGAAACATATGTTTTGCCTTTTTTGGGTAGATATAAAAATCAAACGGCATAGATCGAAACTTATAATTGGGTTACATTACGAGTGCAAAACTGGATGGAGATTTCTTCACTTTAGCCCAATTAAATTTTCAGCCTATTATTGTAATGGGCTGCTACATAATAAAAAAATTGAGGAAATTTAATAAGGAAAAATCAAAGATTCTTTAAGTAACTAATTTATGCATAGACTTAAATTTAAGAGTATTGATTAAGAAATAAAAAATAATTTCCTTATTAAAAAATATTGATATTATACTTTCATCATAATTTTAATGTACTTCTACTAATTTTGATTAAAAAGTTATTTATCAATTCTTTAATTAGTACTTTTAGTAATTTTGGTTAATAAGATCATAAATTTGATTACTATTTACTTTTGTTGCTACATTAAACTATTGATTGAAATTATCATTTCATGCAACCAGTCCAAATATTTTCTACAGTAACCCGCTCTTCATGCTTTCGATAAATATCTATTCCTGACTTCAATAAATTTAGTCAATGATTTGTTAAGAAAATTTTATATTATTTCAATATGTTGCTATATATATTATGAACTTCATATTGATATATTAAAAACTAAGAGTACATGTACCAAAAAATAACTCAGTTCTCTACTGTTATGAAAAAAATTGTTTATGCTATATTTAAACACAAACCAATTTTTATGATTATAATTAATCAAACTTCAATTTTTTTGAATTATTTTATTTATATAAAGGTGTCAAAACGAGGCAAGTTAGCTTGCTTGCCTCGCGCTATAAAAATGAACTAATCTGCTCCACACCTGTTTAAAAAATGAATTAAATTTTTAGTCTGATCCATTTAAAGGTGAACTAACAGTTAACGGATTAATCTGTCAAACATTAAAAATTAAAAATAAAATTAAAATAATTTGTAGATCAATAGATTAATTACCTAACCCACCTAAAATTAATACCAAAATTTGTGTGTTTAATGAGCCCAACAATTGAGTTCAACTTACTTTAACAACCCTAAATAAATGTAGTAAGTATTCAAACTTATAGTGTTTACTCTCTTTCATTTTATTTATTTTTTATCTATAATATCTTTTACCGAAAACAATTATATTCAAGTCAGAGTAAGAAATTATAAGTAGTAAAATTTTCCTTTTAAGTATTTAACATAATTATATTTAATGAGATTTAAACTTGTATTCACAATTTAAGTTAAAATAATTCTTTAATAGTTGATTGGTATTTTTCTTTATTTAATTAATTTTTATTTGAGAAAAAAATTAAATAAAAAATCATACATATTAGGTATCTTATTTTACAGAAAAGGAAATACATATTCCAGAAATTTATTCACACCCATTGCCAACACTTTCAAAAATATAATATGAAATATGTAAAAATAAAATATAAAATCTAGGGTATGTTTGTTTCTAATTTTTAAAATAATTTATATTTTTAATTTTTTTAAAAAAGAATTTTTAAAAAAATTGGAAAGAAACATGCTCATGACTTAAAAAAGTAATCTAATATATAGAGATGAGGTATGTAACATAGGCGTTTGAAAAGTTTTAATGAGGCACTTCGATCATATTATGCTACATAAGAAGATATTAAAATTTCAATATTTTATCTTTGGTGCATGCTTTCATTCTGTGACAGGTGAGATGTCATTGTTTTTTAATAATTGAAAGCATGAGTCCCTTCAAATAAAATATCTTTTTTGACATATCTTATTGTTTTATTAAAGTTTACATACAATATTTAAGTTTCATAATCTTGTAATTTTTAGAATTCAGTCTTTAAAATCATTTTGCCGCATTCTCTTTTTATTTAATAATTAAAATATTATAGAATTTCCTAATCCAATATGGATGACTTATATGTGATTGAACTTAAAACACTAGAGACACACAAACCCTGCAGCACACGGCACGAAAAAGGTCGATAAAAATGTGTGATCTAAATCAACAGTTCCCTTCATAATGCATTGTTTTGGTATTTTTCTAATAAAAGAATAATATTTTCTTTTTGGGTATATTAAGAATAATTTAAACTGTAAACTTTGAACTTTTAAACGAGCAGAAAAAAAATAAGTTTAGAGACTTTTATATGTTGAGACAAAATAACCTTTGTTGTTACTCATCATTCAGCGCTGCATGACAAAATTGACCAGTGGTAATGTGCTAGGATCAAGCCTCTACCTTTTTTTCAGATTTAGGCGCTTTATCTGTATCCACCACCACTCTCCCAATTCCCCAAAATTCACAAAGCCTTGTGCTTAATGCCAACTTATATTTTAAATGAGGTGTGTGGGTTGAAATCAAACCTCACTTTTTACGAAAACCTTCAATGCCACTAGCTGAATGCCTCAAGACTTGAGTGGTTTTCAATTGCAAAAGCACCTTCCCAAGTAGCTTTGTCTTTGGTATGCGATCTAACGAAGGTAGCTAGCTAGTTAGCTCACTATTTCACTATTAGTTTCTTTTTCTTCCCTTTTGGTTTGAGACGGCGAGCATTATTCAACTCAAATATCAATATCAAGTCCTGTTTTATTTTATATGTTGATGAATTTAAATATTAAATCTTCAGAATAATATAGTTAACGGATAATTACATTGTTTTCTTCTAGTTATTGATGATTACATTTAAACTCCACTTAATTGAAAATTATACATACATATCTTATTTTTTACATTATTCTCGAACACTGACACCATTTATTTTATTTTTTTCAGAAAATACGCACACCTTCCTAGTTGTTATGTATGAAATAGTAATTTCTAAACCAGATGTTTTATGATGTATGTTTAGGTTTAAGGTCAAATATAATTAATTTTGAATTACTAAATATAATTATCGAGCATTTAAGATGAAAACAAGTTTCTTTATATTTTTTTTCTCTAACATTTTCCTCGTTTAGTTTGCGTAAGTTTAGTTCCGTAAAAAAATCAAAGAAAAAAAAAGGTGAAAAAAGGGAGACATTTCGTGACCACGTTTACTTTTGTTGGCATTTTGAAATCTTTGATGCGTGCATGTGGGATCATAAATAAACTGTATCACATGATGGGTGTGAATGTTGAAAATGAATCAGTAATTGACTGCGTGTGCATTGTGACAACAGGCATTAGGCAAAAGGGTGAGTTTCCCCAGCTATTTACTGTGTATTATTAACGACACAGAGACATATGAGAAATGAAGGGAATAGGTGAATGTTTGGGGGGATAAGATAGATAATTAATCATTCAATCCCCAAACTTGAATATGGGATGTGGATAAGTTGTGGTGCGTTAGGTGAGGTTGGTTCCCAACCACAACACCTTTTTAAGTATATTTTTTAATATCTCAGCTAGAGCTGGGGAAGATTTTAGTGGTGCGGGTACAAAGCTTCATTTATTAACTTACAATATTCTATTCAAAAATTATGAAAAAAAAGAATAAAAGAAAATATTTTGTTTAATATTTATATGAAGCATTAAAATTTTAATGACAATGACATCTGATAAAAGATGACATTAGTGGAGTCATAAATATTACTGAAACACAAAAGAAAACATTGGGCAAAACAGATATAGATATAACGTGCCTTGCTTGACCTGAATAGAGAAGACTTGTTTGTGTCACTGTTGGAAAGGCAGAGATTAGTAGAAGGAATCCTGCAGGTGGCATCGAATTACTGGATATATTTTTCTTTTCTCAGCTTTTGCTTTCACGGTCCCTCGCTCCACCATTGAAAAAACTTTGCCATAAATTCATTATATTAATCTTCAATTTTGCATCTATCAATAAATTCAATGTGTTAAATTATAAAATTAAAATTATTTAAATTTTTATACATATAATTTTAAAAATTTGAAATGTTTGTTGTTCACAATGCTATCAATTAAAACAACCTTTGTTTAATGATTTTAGAGCAAAAACTGATTTTTTTTATGATTTAAAATTGACTGATATTTGTAATTTTACAAATTTTATAAAAATGATTTTTTTTTATATTTTAGTCTTTCCAATGACATTAATAAACTTTATATTAAAATTTGAATTTAATTTTTATACATACCACATAATTTTAATTTAGTTTTTGTAGATGCAATTTTAATTAATTTTATCTTTAACTTTAAGGTTTGTCATGACTCTCTTTTTGTTTTTTTTACGTGACGGTTACACCTTTTTTTATTATTTAAATTATATAGTATTTCTTGTGTATCACATTTTTATTCTCATCTCTATACATTAAAAAAATCATTTAATCCCTAATAGTAAATCACTAATTTTATATTAAATTAAAATTTGGATCGACATTAGAATACCCATTTATATTCGACTTTAACAGTGAAGACTGCTTTTGTTTTTGCATATATAAGAATTAAATTAAAATATACCTATAAAAACCAAATTAATTTTTCATAACACGTAGTGAGACTAAATTTATATTTGAATAAAAAATTTAATAACTCAATTATTTATGACTAGATGATATATATTTTTTAAAACATTAACGGAAAACAAATCACAATAAAGAAAAGAGATTGTTGAACTAGAACCTCCGTTGGTGACCTAAAAGATGTTATTAGATTATTAGAAGCCCTCTTCCTAAGAAGAGGCTAACATGAATAGCATAACAATTTATTATAAGCTATTCGTCAGGAAAACTCAATTTCATCCCTCTACTACAAATAACTTGTAAACCTCAACTTCACTTCACGTGCTTTGGTTTAGTCATGTACACTAGGGTACAAACACATTGGCCATTATAAGCCTATATATTTTTCACTTTTTATACATTCTAACATAATTTTAAATTAAACTCACTAAAACACTTACCTGTTAATTAATTGATAGTTTATATTATATATAATATTAAAAATATTTACACAATTTCTTGTGTTTTGGAAGCAAGAAAAAAATGAAAAGAAGTGAGCTGATAATTTTCCCATAAATGATGTGAGCAAGAAGGAAGGTAAAAAAAGATGTAGGATGACAAAAACAATAATACGAGATTCTGATTGAAAATTGCAAGTGTAGAATAAGGAATGGTAAAGTAAGAGAAGAACTTAGAAAAAGGGAAATGTGATTGTGCTGAGAAGAGAACAAAGCAAGTGCGGGAGAGAGAGAGAACGATAGCGACGGTGGCATTACGAAATAGTAACACATCATGGTCTTAGGAGCAGGTGGGACTACTAAAACACCATCAAAGTGAAACTCTTGTTCGGGTTGGTTTCGGATCAAAAGGAATTGACACGGGTGGGAACAAGAGGCTGGACTTGTCATCACTGTTCATCATCAACAAAACTAGTGTAGCGCACCATAACTAGACACGCATGCATTCAGGTTCAGCTTCTCTGTTCATGCTGTGTTGTGTGTTGCTTTCTGCATACTCTTCAATCTCTGACACGCTTCATTCGTGTCAATCGATTCTCTTCAGCTCTTTTTTTTTTTATTTTTTATGTGGGGTTTGCCGCTTCAGTTGCCACCGTTCGTCGGTATGCTGTGTGATCTTCCAAGTTTGTTGCTTTTTGCTTTTTCACGGTTACCCTTTAAGTTTCTTATACTTTTTTTTTGTTGCCTTCCGTTGTCTCTTCTTTTAGTTTTCTTCTTGCCTTTCACTGTTACGGGGTATGAAACAATGGCTCAAGGGAAGATCCGGGTATGAAAAAAAAATAGTGGAAACTCTTCAATTTTTTTATTGTCAGAGAAAGTCGTTTAATCAGTCAACGATTTTGATTTTTATGTCTTTTTTTTCTTAATTTGAGTTGTTTTTTATTGAAAGTGAAACTTTTGCTTGTCTTAGATCTGACTGAAACGCTCTGTGAGTTTGTTGTTTCCTATGGTTTTATCGTGGGAGTTACTTTTAGTTGTATTCTATATATATTTGTTTTTTTAATTTTTATGGGGAAGAAAACAAATGGGGTTTGCCGTGAATGAAAGAGTTTTGGTTTCAGGTGTAGTTCACTGTTTTGGACAGGTCTGTGTATGTGTTTTTTTGCAATTTTTCATGTGATCCTTGTTTTGGGGGGAAAATCCAATGTTTGTTGTTGTGTTTCTATGTTCCTTGGTACTTATGTTTTAAGTCATTTGACGATCGTTTCGGAAATTTCTCGGGTTGCTTTATTGGAGTTTCGTTTTTAGCAATATTTTATGTGCAAGTTTGGTGGGTGTAGTAGTTAAAGGGGTGTAGATTCAGCAATCTGGGTTGCAAACATTGCCAATATTCTAAGCATGTTTCTCCCTTTTAAGTTTCAATTTATCTCTCTGTCTCTCTCTTTAATTTATGAAAATTAGCTCTTTTTTTTGTCTGTTGTCACATTTCACGTGCATGAATGTCTCTTTCTGTACAAAATATAGTTGTGGTCTTGTTTTACATATAAGATGAAATTGTATGAATGAAGGTCATTCAATTTTGGACTCATGCTTTTCTTTTTGGACCTTAGGCAGTGTTCACTAGTAATTTAGCTCAAAAACGATCCTTCTTTTTTATTTTATACCAAAGTATACTTTTAAGGTTGTAATCATTTTCAATGCCAATATATTTTGTGTCGTCAACTTTTAGATATTGTAACTTGAAATTTTGCCCTTTTGGCCTGCTGGATTTTATGAATAACCTGCTTCGCAGATTCTAAATTTGATTTTATGTGTCATGTCAAGCAGTTTGTGATGAAGACTGAATAAAAGATTCAATTTTCTATGACGTCAATCAAATCATGGAGATGGCTGATGAGAAAAAAGAGTGGCTTGTCTGATGGGGTCTGCCTTCTTTTCTTCTAATCTGGCTACTTTGGATTTTGTTAGGAGAATTTCTTGTAAACTATCTTCAGTTCTGAAGATTCATGTGTAACATCACTGTTTTAACATTAATTTTATTTGGGCAGGGGAAGTCAAGTTTCAAGATGAAACAGCTGCCTTTTATGGCAGTTTTGTGTATAGTAATGTTGTTCATTGTGTATAGAACTACAAAGTATCAATATCACGAAGAAGAGGTATGACATCAGTTGAATTCCTTTGGATATCATTGTATTTGTATGTACACTATAACTAGCTGTTAAAATGTTTATTAAATTGATACTTAGAAATTTAACATTTTATTTAGGATTTCTTGGTACTGCTATATTTCAAATATCCTATAACCATGTCAATATTCATCATATCAGAAAATTAGTGAAGTGATTCCCAGAAACATTAAACTACTACTTAAATCTTTCTCCTTCTCATAGTGCATGAAATGTATGCTTGTGCTAAGTGCTCTAATTTAATTTTTTTCCCTTTCTTTATCATCTACCATGATCAGATTGACAAAAAATGGAGTTTCTGGAGAGAAGAAAAGGTAAAGATTATAATCTTAGTTTATTTGCCCAACTAGTTTCTGATTCTTCTTTTTCCAGATTTGATCTTTGATGCATTACAAACAAGGGCCCTGATGGTTATATTTAATGATGGCAATGGTTGTTTTTTTCACAATTCTTGCCTACTATGATTCTGTAACTTGGATACTTTTTTTTATACGTATTGATACTTTTGATGCCTCTGCAGGCATATCCAGTAACTTCTGGGAAGTTGAAAGGCTTGCCACGAGGTATAATCCATGATAATTCAGATTTGGAATTGAGGCCATTATGGTCGAGAAGTAATTCAAGGTCAAAGGTCAGCATTTTTGCATTATATTGATTATTGAAACTGACAGAAGATGTGTTTGAATTTGGGAAATTGTTGCATTACCTGAACTAACAATTCTAGTGATTGCTTGGTGATGTTTATGAAATTGCAGGGTAGTGTTTACACTAACCGTAACTTGCTGGCAGTTCCAGTTGGTATTAAACAAAAGCATAATGTTGATGCTATGGTGCAAAAGGTATTTTTGATGATTGTTTAGATTATCCAAATTTTCTTTAATCTAATATCATTTATTTCAGTTTCTTCCAGAAAACTTTACAATTATTTTATTCCATTACGATGGCAATGTGGATGGCTGGTGGAATTTTGATTGGAGTAGCAAGGCCATACACATTGTTGCTCGGAACCAAACAAAGTGGTAAATATGATACTCATCACTGATGAATTTTTTGTTTTTTTCATGTCTGAGGTATGTTATTGAAGGGAAATTGTTTTAGTTCTGTTGAGGAAACTGGCTTTATAAGTGAGGCATATTATGTCTTCATTAAGTAAAGATTTTTTTGAAAATCAAAATATCTCCTTGACTCAGAGTGAGCCAGCTGGATTGGGGGTAAACATTTTGGCTCCTCAACGTATTAAAATCAAAGTCTTAATTTATTTTCCCTTTTTTTGCCTGTAAACCACCACTGAAATTGAGAAAGTATTAGATAATAATATAATGTTAATGCCTGGGCAAAGTTATGGGATTGGTATCAGATTGCTGGTTCTCTTATGATAGTTTCCCAAGATGTATAATTTTATTTCTAACAAAGGTATTTGTATCATACACACTAATTATATATGTATTTGATAGTTTATTTTTCCAAACTTATATATTGATTTGTAAGCTCTTTGTCAGGTGGTTTGCAAAAAGATTTCTCCATCCAGATATAGTGTCTATTTATGATTATATCTTTCTCTGGGATGAGGATTTAGGGGTGGAGCATTTTTCACCGTCAAGGTATGACTGATACCTTTTTTTACTTTTCTGCTGTTTGTGGTATTTTGATATTTGTGTGCAGGTCTGCCTTGGATGCAAATGATTATCATTTTATATACGTTAACCTGCAATACTTGTGTAACTGCAATGCAAAAAAAATCCAATTTTATTTGATTGCATGATGACTTGTCAGCTTTTTTTTAACCTTTTAAAATTGATAGCTGATTGAAATTTGACCCTGAATTTTCAGGCTTTTCAAAGTACATGCATTATAAGATGTGTATTATCCTTATTAGATCATTACGCATAAATAAGGTTGCTTAAAAATCTTTGCTTGTCTGGGGTTTTGATGGAAAAAAGAGGTTATTGCTTGGATTTATGTTCTTAAACCTGTTTTGATTTAAGTCTAGTAAGTAACATCTCAACAGGCTTTTATCTCATCAAATCAAGGAAAGAATTAGAATAGGCTTTTATTTTGCAGGTATGTTAAAATTATAAAGGAAGAAGGTCTGGAGATATCTCAACCAGCCCTCGACCCAAATTCAACAGAGATACATCATAGAATTACAATTAGAGCTAGAACCAAGAAAGTTCATAGGTGAATTATTGTTAGACTATCATATGTTCTTGCTAAAATGCTAAGCAATGCACCTGATACTTACTCTGGATGTATTCATTGGAGCAGAAGAGTCTATGAACGCAGAGGTAGTACAAGGTGTTCAGATTCAAGCGAGGGACCGCCATGCACTGGGTGGGTCACTGTTACTTTTGATATTAGTAGAGCTGCGTAATATTTCAAGATGTTCGTGCTAGATCTTGTTCATGTGTGATATCATTCCTCCATCTATCATCAAGATGGTGGGACTAGGATCATATGTTTAAATTTGTCCCAGAGTTAATTCATGCCTGTATTTATATTGTAATTAGGAAAAACTAATTTATTGTCAACTAACACAAGGTGACAAGATTTTATTTAATAACAAAATAAAAGCAAGTCACTTTTGAACTGAGGTCTACTGAGTTAAATAAAAGACAACTATGTTTGAAAAACCTTTTCTTAGGTAAAATAGTTGTTTTATTGTCTTATATTTGTTCTTGTCAGCCAAGGGATGCTCATTTCTTTATTACGTTAGTCACTAAGATTGTTTTTCCTTCTTTTGTCTGTCTTTTTCATTGTTCTTTCACATCTAGGATGATAGTGCAGAATAGGGTTGAAGAGGGTTCCATAGAAGTATATGGAATGATCTTTAACTTATTATTAGGTCTCTGTGTAATATGACTTTTTGAGAATGTTATCTTTGAATTCCTTTGGGTGTACACATTTTGAAGTTTAAATAACGCAAGCAGTGGAGTTGTCTGTTCAATTATGTCAAAAGATGAAAAACACTGATGATTTTATCATGGTTTAGTTGATTGCCTTGTAGTACACTATGTTTTCCTTCTGTCCTTTTAAATTCCTTTATTTTCCTTATGATAAATCTTGGCATGCATGTTGTCTAATCCATGTTGTGAATGACACAAACTTTAATACTTGTGTAGGTTTGTGGAAGGTATGGCTCCAGTTTTCTCTCGATCTGCTTGGTATTGTACTTGGCATCTTATACAGGTAATATTATTTCTGTGGTGCATAGGAATATCAAATCTAAGCTCTAGAATTTGAAAGTTTTAGAATTCAATTTTTGCTATAGATACTAATATATCAAAATAATCTACTATGCTGGTGTTTAATATAATTTGTATTTTCTCCAGAATGACCTTGTACATGGATGGGGAATGGATATGAAGCTAGGATATTGTGCACAGGTGAGAAATATGCATTTTCTGTACAAGGTTTATTACTTTTGGTGGTCATGTGTCTCTCTGTATGATTCTCATTGCCCATAACTGTCTTTTTTTTGTTTTTTTCCGTAGTAGTGATAAATATAGTCAATCAATGTATGTTGTCCACAAATGCTGCATTTATCTTTTTTGTGCTAACTGTTAAGCTGAAAAATCTGTTCCTCTAGTTTCTAGTATACTTATGGTATTGAGCATTTACTAGTGCCTTTGACAAGAGATAGTATGGAGTATTCTTTTATGCATTTTCATGTGACATCATTAGTGTGTTCATTTGGAATGCATCATGTATTGATCCATTCAATTTGAATTTAAACAATTGATCATGTGTATATTAGGCTTCCCTTTACATTTTTTGCCCGTTTCTTTATGCACCATTTTCTGTATGTCTTGTATCATCAATGAGATCAATGCCATTTCTTCAGGGAGATCGAACTAAAAAAGTGGGAGTTGTAGATAGTGAATATGTTTTTCACAAAGGAATACAAACTCTGGGTGGGAGTGGCCATGGAATAACAAAGGTATTTTCCTCCTCTCCTGATGTTGGAATTGATTTGCATCCAATGGCTTCCTTAATTTGTACCGTCTTGAAAATAGTGTCAATGCTCAAACTTGATATTATTCTGTACCAATGGGTGTAACTTGTTAATTAGAGCTAACAAAATGGGCCTGTACAATCAAGTCGACCCGATTTTAAATTTTGAGTTCAAATTTGATCTGCCTGCAAGTCCAAGAAAAAAACAAAGTTGTAAGGCTTTAGCATAATTTTTATGAGCCTGAATTGGATTCAAGTTTTTTGGCCCACTGCCGAGCCCAAATGGGTCGAGTATTTTGTTTTGCCAGTAAATACTCTTAACATCTGAAAAAGACTGTTCCTTTTAACCTACATGCATTTGTCTTGACAAAATCCTTACTTCTTTTTAAGAATATTTGTTTTACCTTTTTGCAGGTTTCAAAACTAAAAAAGACAACTACGGTACAATTTTTGGACATGATATAGTTCTCATGTGTTTCATTAACTAATCTTCTGTTCCTAATATTTATTTTATTGTTGATTTTCTATCCTTTTCTAAGCAGAGACAAAGTGGAAGTGGAATTGATGTGCGAACTGAGGTGAGGCTTTTGAGCTACTTTGAAAACCAAGTGTTGTTGTATTGGTCCCTTGCATTGCGAATCAGAGTGTTTACATCTTAACATGGATTGAACAGATTCGGAGGCAATCAACGTGGGAATTTGAAATCTTCAAAGAGCGTTGGAATGAGGCCATTGCTAAGGACAAAAACTGGGTTGATCCGTTTAAGAGTGACCAAAGACGCATAAGAAGACGGCGTGATACCCAACAACGGCTTTCTATTTCTAAGCACTTTTAATGACTCGCTTCAATGTGTTACTGCGGCATTCACATCCATCATTACCTTTATGTAGCTTAGTGAATTATAAATTCATTCAATTTTGATAAACCACATTTTTCTTTATATCTTTTGCAATGCCTCGGATTCTTCTTTCATCTCCCTCTCTCCTTGCATTTCTCTTTTTAAATGCAATAAGTATTTATTTTTTTTTTCACTTTCTTTAACCGAAAAATAAAGGTAAATTTGTTAGACCATTTTGGAAAATGGAATTGAAAAGAGCTTGAATTCAAAGAATCTAGAAGGACACGAACGAGCGTGAAAGTCACGTTTGTGTGGCTGTCTGTCAATGTTGGTGATTAACCATTCCATTTATTTTGATTTGAGTTTCAACCTACGACTTTATACAATGCCGAAATTTCAACGAAGACAACAGCACAACTCGCTATTTATTGAACTATTTTAATTTCTGTGTCTTTGGTCTGTTTTAAGGAAAATTTTAAGTTTATCTTAGTCATAAAATCGTACATAAAATGTGTGAATTATATATATATATATATATATATATATATATATATATTTAAAAAAAATTTACACTCTAAAATTTTTTACATTTAATTTAAATCTTTCATTTAACTTATATTTAATAGGTTATAATTTATTATTTGACTAAACATTTGAACATAAAAATTTTTAGGCTTACATTAAAAAGATTTTTTTTTATCTCAAAGAATAAAAAAATTAAACCTTACTTTCTTAAATAATTTTACCTGACTTAATTAAAATAAATTTTAAATTTAATGTAGCTTTTGAATATTGAAAATCTTGTAAACAAAAGTATAATTTGATAATCCCGTAATTTTTTTTAATGAAAATAGATATAAAAAAAATTAAGTAAAAATATTTATAGGATCATGTCTAAAATGATTTTCTTAATTCATGATACTGAATATTCTTCTGTTACGATCATTATGTGGAAGCTATTTTTTAACTTATTCATTCAGGTTGAATTGAGTGAGATTATGAAAGAGAGAATGGAATTCTCTCAATTATTTTTCTTAATATGAATCCTTGCAACGTTCGAATTTGGATTTATTATGGAAATTAGTGAGCTAATCTTTATTAATATTCTATCGAATGACAACATTTTAATTTGATGTTAAGCTATTAATTTTTTGATGAAAGATTACATTTCTGGCTTCCAATTAAGCCACTACTTTATTCCATTCGTCCATCTAATTTGATTTTTCAAAACTCAAATTCAAATATAAACTCCATAACATTTTTACTATTAATTTATGATTCATTGGAACTTCAGGAAATATCCATTTTAAAATACTAGATAGTAAAGTCAAGCCAACTATTTATATGATTCATTGTAAACTTAAATTTGAATTAATTTTATTTTGCAAATTTATTTTGGATCAAAATTCGGCATGAAGTCAGGTAATTTATGTTTGGATAGTTTTATAAATGTGATTTTGATCAAATAACTGTTGTTTATATTATATAAATATTTAAATTTTAATGCATTGTTAATATAAAAGTTTTCACACTGCTGGAATTAGAAAAATACATTATGAATATATCTTTTGATGTATTATAGGAAAAGTTAATAATTGTTGTTGATATAACAAAAAATGGTTACATGACAATACCAACAAAATTACATTATCAACACATTTTAATTAAATTCTACATAAATAAAATTTATTTTTGGGTGCGTAAATATTAAAAAATTTATGAGTTTTATAATAAAATAAATGTGATGCTATTATACCAGATTACAATGATATTTTTGTCAATAAACACAATTTTTTTAAAGCTGATGAAATAAAATGTTATTTTTGCTTTTAAAACTCTATTTGATACCAAATTTATAGGCATAAAAGTATGTCCAACATCATTACACCAATTCGAAGTCAAATTTTATCTCAAATAAGGTTTTGAATAGTTTTAAAATGAAATCAAACAATATATACATATATTAAAATGCTTTAATGTCGAGTTTTCCTTTCTTTTTTCTTTTTCATGATACACTTCTGGTGGATCCTTCCTTCAATTGAAAAAACGAAAACCAAGTACTTTCATATTTGCACACACAAACACAAATTCAGTGTGTGAGATTAAAATTGCTTTTATGATAATTAATTAAAAATGAAATTTAGTGGTTTAGTTTATTGTAAAAATTTGTTTTAATCAACTTCTTGATAAATATTTGTAAAGAAAGACTTTCAAGCAACCGCGTAGTTTTAAAATTATAAAAAATAAACAAATAGCTAAGAACAAAAATAGTTGATGTTCAGAATGAAAAAGCAGTAGTTGAACTGTAACATTACATGAAGCATGCCTACGTGGATTTGGTATTGGTACCTAATACTGCTTACAGTTTTAATCCATTTTCTTAAACAATCTTAAGGAAATAGTTGATTTTTTTAATGATAAAAAAGAAATAAATGAACACTTCATCATCCGTAAGTGTTGTCAGCTCCACTTAGAACACAAGCTGGTTTTAAATTAAAGTCTAAAGATTTGACGGAATCAAGATTTAAAATTCTGGCTTGTTTCTAGCAACTATTACACTTGGATTAGACAAAAAAGATTGATTAACTTTTTCTTTTAACCAAGGTAAGAATGTAAGTAAGATACACTTTTTCAATTCTTCATTCAACTTGATATAACATGCCATGTGTTGTTTGCATAAATCATTAGAGCATGGACATGGATGGATTTAACTGACCTTTTTTAATGACCTAATTTTGAACTTGGATATGATTTTATCACGGTCTAATTAATAGCAAAATTATTGGTTCATTTTAATGTAAAATTTAGTACAAATCTTAATCTTATCATTATTTTATTACATCGTAAAATTTTAAATAATCGTGTCTAGAAACATTACGTTGACACAAAAAGTTATTCAAACAAAATCGAAAGATATTATAATTTTTTATTGTGTTCTCAAAAGATACGTAATAAAATAATATATATTGAAAATATATAATTTAATATATTGATATATTAAATATTATATTTTAAATAAATTTTATTACATATCTATATACATACGCTAAAAAAGTGATATCATAAATGATAATCAACCATTGTCGTTCAATTCTTTAAAATAATTTTGTTTCCAAATTCCAAATAATTTTTTTGAGTTATGACAGCAACGTTGAAAACAGTGTGTCTCTCTCTCTTTCTCTTTCTTCAAAGTTCAAAGCATATTAAGCTGACCAAACCAAAGACCATTCTTCTGTCTCAATTGCTGGCATTATCATCATCTTATTTTGCAAGCCATTCCCTTGCATCAAAAGTTTCAAAATTTCCAATCTGAACATTCTAAAGACCCTTTCTTTTTATTTTATTATTATTTTTATCCCTTTTTCTACTTCGTTACGATTAGAATTTCAGATCTTTGCATTTTCTGCTTATAATTCCGAGGCTGGTTTATTGCTAGCACCGTCAACATCCTCTCATGGCCCGTCGCTACGACAGTAACCCCTTCGATGAAGAAGAAGTAAATCCCTTCTCTGTAAGTCCCTCTCTCTTATCCCCACCTGTGTTGCTTTCTCAAAGTTGAGTTTTTATGAAGGGGGTATGCACTTTTTTCTTAATTCTGTATTCTTAAATGATGTTTGAGCCTGGAGTAATGGATGTATTACAGTTTTGGATTTTGGGTTCGGAATTATTATTATTGATTGTTGGTTGACTTGTTTGTTACTATATTTGATCTTGGGTTCTCTGTATGTATTTCTGTTATGCTATTTCTAGTTTTTGTGTGATTTTATATTCCCTTTAAGATCTTATGTTTTCTGCTAATTTTTTAGCCTTTAAGAAGGTTGTTTTGAATTGAGCTAAAAAAAGGTGCATCTTTCAAAACATGCAATAAGAAACAATAAAGCTAACAAACTCCATGGGAGTAATTTTTTATCAAGGAGGAAGCAGTAACCAGTATACGATCTTCTGGTCTCTAAGCAGCCGAAGTGTGGGTAAGCAGAAAGATCATCTAGTGACCTTTTTGTACACTTCTGGGAAGGAATTTGATTCATTGGAAAATGGAATTGACTTCCCTTGGAGCCTGCGTATGTGGGGGCATTTGGCTAGACAAAAAAAAAAGTGTATGTCAGGTCAATTGGTCAGAAGTGGAGTATTTGATGCTCGGTGAGGATGCCTTGGATGGATGAGGAAGTTAAGAGTGTTTGTGGTAGTATCTAATTGCAAAGTATGGGAATTAAGTACCACACTGGAAGTATGGGATTTTGATGTGGAGTTCATAATGGCTTAAGCTCTCCAATTGAAGCAGTTAACTTTTGTGACGTGGTTGTCCTTAGGTTCTTATAAGTTTGCATTAAATAAACCATTTTGTTTATGGTGTTCTACTGCATGTGTAGTTTATGTAAAATTGCCCATCAAAGCTGTGATCTACCTAAATGCTCAAGAAGTGGTGAATACACAGCAAGTGTGTCATGGAAAACTGTTTGGAAACATGCTAATAGATGCTTAAACAAAGGCAAGGAAGAAAATATATCATATACATAGAGAAGGATAACAACCTAAGTACCAGTTTCTAAAACTGGAATGTTTGTTGAATCATTGAACTGAGATTTACTAGTTTGACCATGGTTGAACTACTGATAATAATTAGATACACACTTTTAATATTATATATAATATATTAAGTAATAAATTGGACTATATTATATGCCCTGAAAAATAAAGAACCAATAATAAGAGGCTAATGATAATCATCAAACAAATACAGTGGAATAAAGTCAAGAAAGGACTATACTATTCATACAGGCGTATATATGGTATGTGGTCATATTTGCTTGTCCGAATGAGATGATATTTATTATAAGTGTATTGATTTATGATGTATGTATAATTTGGAAATTAGAGTGTCCATGGGGATTTTACAATTTAGTTGCTTGAGCCCTGGGATATTCTATTCCCATTTGGAATAGTTTTATGCTTACTTGCTTCTTAAGTTTGAATGTCTGGGTAAAATTGTGGTGTGCATGTGTCCATGTGTATTTATTTGCACTACATGCTCGTGCATAATCCTTCAAATTTGGCATACATTTTTAGGATCCAGCTGTAAGGGGAAAACAATCAAGCCAATCAAATTACAGCGGGGGTGCATTTTACACTACAGTGAGTTTGTTAATTAAGCACTAGTAAATCATAATATTTTTGCAGGCATATTTTTTAAACATGATTTTAAAGGTCATGACCATAGGTGCATTAATGAACAATCTGGTTTGTTCAACTTTAGTGAACTATCTAGTAGGGGTGATGTTGTTTGCAAAGTAGGAATCAAACTATTTCTACTTTAATCTTTGTGCCTTTTGAACTATAGGGTCCGTGTCCCTTACCAACTTTCGTTTTGTTAAATGATTCTGGCGCTCTTCTCAGAATAATTAGCCACAAAAGAAATTTGATCATGAAAATTTCCCAATGTAATTTTTTTCCCTTTCTTCTCTGCATGTCTTGGTTTGAACTTGCACAGAACTGAAAGAGATAGTAAAAGAATGAACATAATTCTTAGTGTTCCAAGGAAACCCTTTAATATCTTCCCACTGGTTGAAAAACCCTATAAATCATTTGCAATTTTATGCCTACACTTTTTGCATCCTAATGTTTTAAATTTTCCAGAATCCTGGAAGTGTTGCCCCTGCCACCAACTCAAGGCTAGCACCTCTTAATCCTGAACCTGCTGATTATAACTATTTTGGTGCGACAGTTGATATACCTCTTGATCCATCAACGGTATGTATAATAAATTTGGCTGAGGTTGTTAAAATCCCCAAACCTTTTTTTTTACATGTATGAATGCATTACATGAGTGTATTGTTGCAAAAATTGATCATGTTCTTTCTAATTATAATCTGTTTTAACGTTAGGATTTGAAAAAGAAGGAAAAGGAACTCCAAGCCAAGGAGGCTGAATTGAGAAGAAGGGAACAGGTATTCAATGGAATTTCATGGCTTCTTTCTATACACTTTATTGTTGAGAGAGTTTCTGTAGTTGATACCTATCGAAGGTTGGAAATTGGAACAATCCTATTTTTGTTGTCTTTTAATTTTTTTTTCTTTTCTTCTCTTATTTTATATATGGTGTTTGCTATGATACCTATAAACTTGAGAGGGTATTATATACCTTTTTAAGATTAATGGTTGTGATTTCTTTAATAGGGTATTAATATCTTTTTAACCAAACTACTAATCCTATTATTAAATTAACGGTGACAACTATTCCACGTGTAGGAGAGGGTACCAAACTCTCTCAACTATAGGGGTACAGTAGATTTTACCTTTATATATAACTTTGATACCCTTGCATACAAAGTTATTTTATCTTGGAAAACTAGTAGGTAAATTCTACGGTGCTCGATAAAATGAAGGGGTATTCTATGCTTTTTTACCTATAGAACAATTATCACCGTTAATTTTATATCAATAGATAATGGAGTTAGTGATTTATTTTAGAAAGACATAAATACCCTTCAATTTTTAAGATATTAGAAGAGTTACAACTCTCAATTTAAAGAAGATATACAATGCCCCCTCTAACAATAAACTAGTATTGATAGTGGAATATATGTTTTGTGACTGGTTACTATTATAAATTACTGGAAAAAACATTTCCTGTGTAGAAACAACTAACTAGACAAGTGGTAAATGTGTAAACTATATAGTAATAATTAATGTAATTAACAACCTGTCTGGTTAATTGCTCCAAATTATTATTATTATTATTTATGACCTTTTTTTAATGAATAATTGAATATCTGTAATTACCATAATATTTTTTAAATTTTTGGACATTCTGAGGGCATATGAAATTGTTGTGTTTAAATTATTTGTTGAACCCTGAATTATGCAACTTAAATGTTTTCTTCCACAAATTATGGGGTCTTCTGTTATGTGTTTAGAGGGCGTATGTTGATATTAAATTTCAGTTTACTTAATTATGTGAAGCCTATGCTACTGGTTCCTCATTTAGCTACATATATGCCTGGAAGTTCACATGCTTTTCTATATCTATTAATTTACCAAATGCAGGAAGTCAGGCGGAAAGAAGAAGCTGCAGCACGAGGTAATTTGCATTTCATGTATATTTGTGTTTGAAGATTGTTAGGGTTCTGTCATTCCAAGAGTCTCAATAGGGCACAAGAATAGAGGAAAATGGACACTGTCACACTGGACAGTAGGGGGGAAACAAATGAGTTATGTCATTAGAACAGTGAATGAACAAGGAGAATTGGGATTTTCCTTTACCAGGCTGCCCTTTGGCAAGTGAGTTCTATGGCGTAGTTCTCTCACAATATTTTCTGCCTACCTCCTTTACAATTGATCTCTCCTATTTAACCACCCAATCAAGTAACTAAATTCCTACTGATAGAGCACCTAACTGCCTTAACCAACCTAACTGTTTTTATTCCTTCTAAAGTTCACTTTCCATGTCCATATTCCGAGGTCTAAAAATTTTGTAATTAGTTTGCCTCTTTCCTTGCCCAATTTTTGTTTGTGTCATTCAATGGAATGATGGAAGAGCATTACTACTTTAGAATTGTATAGATGTTCCATTTCTTGTAGCAATCCACCCATTCTACACATGCAAACTTTCTTAGAAAAGTTTGAACTAATGCTTTTGTTTGGACAATAAATATCTGTACCTCTTATATTCTTCAAGTGTGTAATTACATTGTTTTTCAGCTGGTATTGTTCTTGAGGAGAAGAATTGGCCACCATTTTTTCCAATTATCCATCATGATATCGCTAATGAAATTCCAATTCATCTTCAAAGACTGCAATATGTTGCATTTACTTCACTGTTAGGTAAGTTATCCTATCTTTTGTTCCATTGCAATATGGTTTGCATCAGTGCGTTGTTTTTAAGCCAGAAATTCATTAGGGTGTCTCATGAACTGATTATTTCATTCCTTTCATTTCTTTCTTGAATTGATTCTATCTAAAGCCTCTTCTATGTATGTTCTCTGTAAACTATTTGTGTTGTTCTTGGTTTTTATATATATATATTATATATATATATATATATATAGAGAGAGAGAGGATAAATTGCATCGAGTGCTAAACTATGTAAGATGAAGTTAGATAACACCTTCAATAACTTTTACAAAAATAAATCCTATCAATCAAACTGTTGAATCATGTAATATTATCTTGATGATTGTATATTTCAAAATTTAGATATAGACACTCATAGATTGATATTTACTTATATTTTATATGGCATATCATGTGCTAAAGTAAGATAGTGCAATCAAGTATTAGTTAATTTTAAATTGTATAAAATTATATAGACTTGATTTATTTTATGAAAACTTTAAACCTAACAGTTGGATTGATATAATTTTTTTATAAAAAGTTATCAAAAGTGTCATTTTATTAAGTTTGATCTTTGCATATTGCAGCTTTGATTTTAATTGGCATCTTAGTCTAAAGCTTTATGTCCTATACTAGTTAGTAGCCAAGGAAATCTTTTCCTTTCCCTAACTCACTAAGTATATAATTAAAAGACCTATTAGAAAACTGAGAACCTGGTAAGTGGTGAAATCATGAAATGTATGCGAATAGGTAACGAGATATTGATAAACTGGTTTCATTTTAATGATTCAAACCATTAAGCGTGCTGGTTGGCACCAACCTGTTTCGTTAAGTTAGTTCAATGGCATGATGAGTTCACTCTCTATTGAATTCTTCATAGCTTGGGGAAGATACTGTTTTAATTTGATAATGATTATAATGTTTAATGTATCTTTCATGTATATTCTGCAAGTTGTATTATTTTACACCAAAAATTTATTTAAGAGTGAAATATGATCCACTGTCAATGATGAAAAATGATATTATGCAGGATTAGTGTTATGCCTCACATGGAATACTGTATCTGTCACTGCAGCTTGGATTAAGGGAGAAGGTCCATATAAATATAGAGCAATAATCTTTTTGGGTTATTGAATGGCTTGAAATCCATATCTGATGTCAGCAAATTCCATGCATATGGAACTTGCCCTTATTTGTTGTAGGTGTGAAAATATGGTTTCTTTCTATTATCTACTTCATAGCAGGGGTTCCTGGAGCATATGTCCTGTGGTATCGCCCATTATATCGTGCTTTTAGGTAATTATTTCCAAGACTAATTAGTATTTGGCTGTTTAATATTTGCCAACTAATTGTAGAATTGCAAACATTCCTCTTACATAGCTCCACCTGTGCAAGATAAAAAATTAATCCTGATAGATTGGGGTGTTACAGAAATTCAGAAGAGCAACCTCAGGGCCTTATAAAAGTGATAAAATTTTCCGTCAAAGTTAGCAAAGTTCATAGTTAATTTAAGAGTAACAGTAGAAGTTTTGAATAAGTAAAATAAATGATCTAACACTTTTGAATTTTTATCTGCACCAAAAGAACAAGCTTTGTTGATTATTGAAGAAATGTTTTGAGGTCAACTTCATTGTTCTGTTACTGTATTCTGCAGAAAATATGTTGTTGTTTGCCGAGTCATAATTTTTTGATATTTTTGGCCAACAGTAAGTGGATATCGGGTGATGAAGAGATTTATTATCCATATGATTCAGAGATCTCAGAAGCATAAAACCACTAGAATTTGGATAGTGCCTTGTGGTGTGGGATTTGGGTAGCTTGAGGGTAACCATTTGAATAAACTAGTGCCAAGAATTGAGGTAAAAGATTATTATTATTCAAGAAAGATTGAGGTTCTGCCAAGAAAGACTATTTCTTGCAAAACTAGAACACAAGCGAATGATCTCACTAGTCCAGTGCAGTTCGAGAGGCGCTGGTTCTCTCCTAACATTCCAATAATTCTCTTCACTCTAACTAAAACAGGCCCATTTTTCCTAATCTTCCTAGTATAGACCCTTTTTATTATGTGTCTATTTACATTATTGCTATCACCATTTAATTGTAAATGCTGTCCCTCTAGAAAAGGTGAATAAGATCCTCCGCAGGTATGCTCTACTTTTGTGATTTGATGATGGTTACTTGATCAGAATACTTGAACTATCTGCATTTTTGTATGGCATACTTGGAGGGATTTTCCACTAATGGGCATCCAACAAAATCTGAGAGCATTCATAAGAATAATAAGCTAATAAGCATGCATGTTACATCACTAGGCCCATGGCCTAATAGGTTACCCAGTTGGGTGTTCCACCTCCTTATAGTTCAATCCTGTCCCATGTTATGAAATAATGCAAGCATTTTTTTCATCTTTCTAATTTGATTATGCTCTTCATTTTGAATTTGTTCCATGGCTATTTTTGCAGGACTGATAGCGCTTTCAAGTTTGGATGGTTTTTCTTGTTTTACCTGGTAAATTGACTGTTTTACCTTTATGCATGTAATCACAGTTTCACTTTCACATCTCAAACAAAATTTGATTATTATTATTTCTTTTTGTGCTTACAGCTTCACCTAGGGTTCTGTATCTTAGCTGCAGTCGCTCCTCCCATAGTTTTCAAAGGAAAATCCCTGACGTACGTTGACTTCATATATATACACTTCATTAACATGACAATATTCCTTATTGTTATATTTTCCTTTACCAGTAACATGGAGACAGAATTTTTTATGGCCTTTCTGAAGTTTGCAGAAAAGAATGACTTTTTTTTATCCATGTATCGAACCTCACTTTGATGGCAAATGGTTTTTTTTATTGTTTCCTAAAATAACAGTGAAAAAATTTTCTATGAAAAGAATTATAGAATTTGAGATAACTTGAACCTATGACATATACATTATTATTCTAGTACATCTAAATTACCTGAGTTGAAATCTAATTTTGGAGAAAATAAAAGGAAAAGAACAGTTATTGAAGTGTACCAACATCCACGGTTACACAAAAGAAGTACTTTTATTGTGTATATAAAAACATTACAAGGTGTAACTTATATTGTAATAATAAGATAGAGGTCACTTAAGATTAAGCGATTTAAGACTTAATCATACTAACATCTAAGTGGTCCTAGAATGACTGCAAAATTGGTGAGATAAAAATATGGATATAACAAATATTTTCAAGAGGTCATTGTTACTCTAATTTTTGTGGCCTAATAATTGGCACTGTGTACTCGTTGATACAGAGGCATTCTTGCAGCCATAGATGTGGTGGGCGACCATGCTGTAGTTGGGGTAAGTATGCCTGTTCCTCAAACATTCCCAATTTGCTCAAGTGATTTTATACATCCTGAGCAAATATATACACATACACACACACACACCCCCACACACCCCCACACATTCAGCTTTATTATTTGCATGTATTTTGTTTCACATTACAGTTCACCAAATTTACATCCACTAAAACGCTCTTCAGAGGAACTTCTGAATTTTGAACGTGTAGAAGTAGTTGGTGGACATAACACAAGTATGAACAAAATTCTAAAAATTCAGATTTAATTATTGACTGGTTATTAGAACTATTGTCCTTATAATCCATGAGATCTTGGTGATTTTTAACCATCACTTGGTGGGTTTAGTACCCATTTGTTTATCTTTTGGGAAAAAAAAAAGGAGTTGATAAAAATTCATAAAAATATGTTATTTTTAGTGAGTTAAAAGCATTTTTATTTTTATTTTTTAATTTTTAGAGAATCGATTTTGAGAATTGGTTACATGCAATTTTGGGGCCAAATGAGGATTTGTCACGCGAGCCATATTACATTTTTAAAGCTGCAAAACCTTAACAAAAGAGTATCCTCTGCTTCTGAACAATTGATGATTGATTTATGCTTTTTTCTTTCCATGTGCTTGTAGATTTTCTACTTTATTGGATTTGGATTATTCTGCCTGGAAACTTTGGTCAGCATATGGGTTATTCAGGTTTGACTAGACCTTTCAATTTTCTTAAAAAAAGTGAATGCACTTGGCACTCTGAGCGCTTCAAACCAAAGTTCTTGTTCACTTTTTCTTTGGTTGCATACAGCAAGTATATATGTACTTCCGCGGCAGTGGTAAGGCGGCAGAGATGAAGCGTGAGGCTGCAAGAAGTGCAATGAGGGCTGCAATATGATAAATCACCTTGAAGATGAGCAGTATGGATACGCTATGTTTGGATTGCTTTTGTAAATTACTAGCCACAGAAATTGCAGATAAAAATATTTTACTGAGGTGATTTTTGTTTTTTGTTGTTTCTCTTTTGTCTGAAACAGACTACTGGTTCATGTGGTTTTTTTATGTATACTATAAGCAGAAAGCGTAGTCATTCAGTGGTTGGTAGAAACGTGCTACAATTTATTGAGTTGATCCTCTATATATAGTTTTGGTTCTGTCTTCTTATTCCAAAAGCTAGTTGTGTCTGTCAATCCTTTTACCTTTTCTTTGACGAGGAACTTGTTCTATCATTTTTTTTATTTGTGAGCGTGCACAACATATGATGATGAATGCAGCCGGTTCATCTTATTGGCAAATGTTGACATTTGAAAATGGATACAAAAGTTAGGTAAAGGTAAGATAAGTGAACCTAGTGGACTTCAATTTATCCACAAAATTGATTTTTATGAATTATTACATATTGAAGGTAGTCAGACAAACTCCTTTTGAATTTTGAAATACTGTAGTTATGATATAATAGTAATTTTTTTTATTAAAAATTATAATATTTAATATCATTAATACATTGAACTCTGCTGTTGCTAATAAAAATTAACCATATATAAATTATGGTGCTTGTTACTTGTTACAGTATTTTTGAATTTGAAGGGACATTGAATATTCTCTTTAGATTATATTAAAATATTAAAGAATATTTATATTTTTTAAATAAAATACTAATTTTACTGTTAAAATTAATTAAATGATTGTTCTACATATAAAAGAGCATATAATATCCCTTCAATTTCCAGAGAGCTGTACAATTTACCATAAATTATTATCATGTGTGTTTAGTCGTATAATAGAAAAATTAAAATTCTATTCTATTCTATTTAGTGACTAGAGATAAGAAAGTTCGTTGTGGGGTTTGAAAGTGTGATTCTTGATTGCTATCGATTTCATCATTTGTCACATAGGTGGGTTATTACTTATTGAGTGTGCATGCTTTTATTGGTACAATTCTTAGCAACTCACGGAGCGAATAGTAAGTTTAGTTTTATGAGTACGATGGCTTGAACAACCCACTCCCTCCATACGATGTTAAATAGTTAGCAAGTTTTTTCGTATTAGGATGGAGTTGTCGGAAACCATCAAATTTCGATTTGTTAAAACCTTTTATCTCTTTAACATGGAATCGATCTTACCGCACTAACTTTATTTTTTAACGTTGAATTTAAATAAATAAATAATAAAAGTGTATTAGTAAAATAATATTCATTACATCTTTATATCTCTAATATAATAAATAACTTTAATAAAAAATTACTATTTTTAAATATTAAATTCAACCTTCCAAAACTCTGCCTTCAGAGTGTGTGTAGCGTCAACTTTTCAAATAATTATTATACTTCTGAGAGATGAAAAAGGAACTCTTATCATTTAAAACGATTCACGCATCTGGTTGGAATAGATTCAGATTCATATGCTTCGCTTAAGGGAAAACAATATTTTTCCATTTGTAGTTTGGATATAGTATATTCAGATTTTTTGTTAAACTACAGAAAAAAGATTGTATATCACTTTTACTCGTGGGTTTTGTTAACTTTTTTTTATTAAATTCTCTTGTTTATTGAAAAGAAAATATTAAGTCATTCTTAAATTTTAAATACTGATGATAACATGGCATTTTTTTATAAAGGTCCTGTGCATTCGTTAAATATTAATAAAAGATTTTTTTATTCAAAATTACATTAAAATGTATTCAAAATGTCTAAAAGTATATTATTATAATGTCTGATAAAAAAATTATTTTTAATTCTTTAATCAGCATCCGTAAAACATTAATCACTGATTAGCATCTATTTTGATGAATAAAAAATCATTTAGGACCTCAACGGAATTATTTGGTGAGGGATGGAGTTGAGGATTGAATCTACGTCATTACTTTAAATGCAACATCATGTAATAATAAACTATCTTCATATAATATATAGTAAGCAAAATTACAGTCCACAATCTCAGTTCTCACCCACCAAGGAGTGCCCATATATTTTTCTTCACTTATAAGTAATAACTAAACATATATAATCAAAAGCAACACCGAAAACCAAAGACCCACCTACATAGAAATATGTCTACTTTCTGTTTATTTATCTAAAAGGGTGATCATGACCATATATTATAATAAATAGCATACATAATATATAGTACTAGGGATAACAGCAAGTGTTACCATCACTGTGCTTAACAATAAGCGATGCACTTCTTTTTGCAATCAATGGTGCAGCCACCGCCGCCACCGCCGGCGCCGTAGCCCTTGCCGGATCGGCTGAAAGAGGAGAAGCACTTAGCTGGACATGTTACCTTTTTTTGGTAACAAGGGCCTTTGTCTTTGCACACAACGGTTGGTCTTATGATACCACCTTTAGAGGAGCCTCCACTTGGGCCTCCATACCCGGATCCATAACCTCCTCCAATGATGCCATTCCCGAACCCGTTTCCAAATCCGGGTATGCTAAACCCTCCTCCGGGCCCAAAGAAGCCACCATAGTTATTGCCTTCACCTTGGTTGTTGTTGTTGTTATTGTTGTCTTTGGAGTGCTTGTTTTGATCAGGAGTGGATGCGGGTCGGGTCGCCAAAGAGGGTGAAGCTATGAGGAGTAGAGTGAAGAAAGCAAAGGTGATCTTGGGTATCATTTTTCTTCTAAGGTTGGAATTGAAATGAGATTGTGTTGAAGAAGTGGAGTTTGTGGCATGTGTTATGATGAGAATTGAGAAAGGGTAGATAGTTGGGGTGGAATATTTAAAAGTGTTAGTGGAAAGAAAAAGCATTTATTGGGAGGGTGTGGAGGACAGATGGGAGGATTTATGATGTTCTAGTAGGTTGCACTCATTTATTATTCTTCCCTCTCTCTCTGCCCTTTCCAGTTCAAGCTCAATTTTAACTTCTATGTAATGCCAATGTTAAGGCTAATTAACTTCACTAGCATGTCAAATTATTTATTCATTATGTGCCATGTTTTTCATCACCATGCCTCAAGTATCTTGTGTTGTGCTCAAATCATATACACAAAACTTATAGAATAAATTGCAATGATTCAACTATTTTTCTTATAAATTTTTTTAATTATTAAATATTTTTTATTTTTCAATACTTATTTTATTCAATAATAAAAAATGTTAAAGGATATAATAAAACTCAAGCTTAAAAGATGTAATATTGTAGATATATTTAATATAAACTTTAATATATCTTGCTACAAATTTCTAATAATTTTATTTATTTATTAAAAAATTATATGAATATAGAGAAATTTAGAGTCGTTTTACTACAAACTTATATAACTTATTTAACATTTTATTTTTTATTTTTATTTTTTTCCTAATAAGCTAATAAAATTATTTAGCGGATAAAAAAACTTTTATTTTTTCAAAGCTAACTAAGTATAATTCAATTTATTAGAAATTAATTTATAATATTTTTATATTTTAAATAATTTACACTTATATAAAATAATTTTAACACTTTCTTTTTACTTATTTAACACATTTTAATCAGTTGTACAATTAGTTTCATCACACAAATATAATTCAATCCTAGTTGTAAGAATGATAACTTTCAATTAATTTGATCAAATAAAAGCTTAAAATTATTCGTTTAATATTAATAAATTTTAGCTTCAATTGTTAAAATTTATTTTAAACAATTAAAAGTAACAAGTATTTATTATATCAAATATAAAAGTGTTAACAATAAGTATTATTATTTTAGTAAAATTTATTATTTTTAAATGTTTAAAGTCTAAAAAAAATGTTAATAGAAAATAAAACATTTATTCAATAACCAATAGCAAAGCATTAGTTTAAAAATGGCATGATTTTTGTTGTTTGGTCAACAAATGGCTTACTTTTTAAAGTTTAGCAGTTATAGGAAGCGCATAATTGAAAAGTTAAAATTCCACTTCTCTTTGAAAGCCCTTTTGCATAATGGTATGGTATGTATAGCTCCTACGCATATATGGTTGTAGCAAAATTATGCATAAGGGAGAATATCATCCCCTGCATTTGCAAATTTTGTTGTATATACTTTTTAATTATATATATATATTCTAGAAAATTCTCATTATTCTCTTTAAGATATTAATAAAACAATAAAATATCTTGTTAAAAAATTTAAAGAATACACTTATCTTCATGTTTTTGATAAAAATGTAATTTAGTAATAAGTTTTGTTAATTTCAGTGTTTAAATATAAGTTTAAATATTTAAAAAACAGTAAATTTTGATAAAAATAAAATATATTTATTGTGTTAAAATTATAAAAATACAATAAATAAAATTTTTAATAAAGCATTATTATTAATAATTATTTTAATTCTTTAGTTAATGATGTAAGGAAAAGAAATATTTGATGGACCACGATATGTCTCTAGTTGATTTTGAATCACAGGAGACGAAATTCAAACAGGGGAAGTGAAGTGGTGTTATTTCACAAGAAAAGTACTAATTTCAGCTTGATTCGCCAAACTTATTTCTTTCTAAACAAAAGTTTTGTTGGTTAATTAAAAATTACATAAAATTTAAAAATTAAGAAATTGAAATTATATTATTTAAATTTTTATAATTTTAAAATATTTTATTTAGGTAAAATAATTAATTAATTATTTTAAATATTTGTATTTAAATAGAGTAATTAAATTATTTATACTTAAAAAATATTATTATATTTAATAAATTTAATTTAAATTATTATATTAACGATAACTAAATAAAAATATGAATAAAATACACATAAAAAATAATTCTAAATTCTCACCTTTTTATTAAGATTTATAATTCTTTGATTTAGACTATTAAAAAAATTTAAATTTAATATTCAAATAATATATTTTAAATCATCAAATTATAAGTTTTTTTAAAATAAAATATTTGATATTCAAACTAAATATTTTTAAAAGATTTATATAACTTTTCTTTCTTATCTAAAAACCCTCAAATGATAAAATAACTATTCTCCTTTTGTCTCCTTTCTTTTGAAAGCTAATTCGGAAAGCCGAAGCTGTTGGGTTTCTCTGAAATGAATTGGAACACCGACATGAGGGAAGGTGGCATTTGAGCAAATGAAAGAATAAAGAATGGGAAGTACAAGTTAACCTTTGATGGATCCTCTCCACAACTACTCCACGGATCAAATTATATTAATTATTTTAAATGATGTAATTTTTATTTTTTTATTTATTTAACTAATATTTGGACAACTACCAAAGTCGCATTTGTGTTGCTTTTCATAAAGTCCTCTGCTTTTCACTTGATTAAAATCATAAAATTATATTAAATAATTTTTATCTTTAAAATCACCCTAATCCAATCTGAAAACATCTTTAGATAAAAGTTTTCTCCTAAAGCGATCCACCCTCCTGTACATGAATAATTTTACTTTCTCTTATTTTTTTTATAATTACAAATCCTTTTAATTATAATTTCTCTTTTTTTTTTTATAATTATACATCCTTTCAATTATTTTTATAATTTTAAGAACTCAAACAAATTAGGGAGGGGAATGAGTTAGTCTCATGCAATAAATGAACCTAACATCTAATCTGCAAACGCAATAAAGATCTTTTGATGGTTTAGTTGATATTAATTTTACTTGGCGCTGGACTAATTAACCAGGCAAAAGCGTGTTCGATTTGTTTTTCAGCTAATATATTTTTATAAACAATTAAAAAATATTATTATGTTTTTAGTTTTGTGAATAGAATGAATTACAATATTTTCAAAATTTTAAAAATAGGAAGTAAAATAAAAACGAAGAATAATTTTGAAATATTTATAATGTATATTAATTAAAAAAAATCAAATAACACTTAAGCATGTTCTTTTATGTTTCTTATTTTTTATAAGATGATTTAAGTTACACATGCAGTACTGAAAATGATAATAAAAATAACAATAATAATTAAAAAAATAAGTTTTTAAATGACATATAATTTAAAATAATTTAAAAATGATATAAAATAAAGGGGGATGGAATGTAATTAAGTGACGCGCACATGGTATGCCTAACCAGTTGTGAGAAGGGAAAGACGTTTGTTTCAGACTTTTCCGTGCTATGGCCAATGACGGTAATGAACTCCAATGTGATAACTCAAGTAAACAACAATGTAAAATCATATTTTGATCGTTGAAATTTCAAAATAAATACTAATATTGGTTATTAAGATTAATTTTAAGTATTTTAAAGTATTAAAATACTTCAAAATTAAATATTTATTATATTCACAATATAATATCTTTTAATAAAATTTTTTATTTTTAAATATATGAAATTAACCTTAACATTAATCAATTTTGCTAATGAGTGTCTTAGCATATTGGTTAAAATTGGAAATAGAAGAGCTGTATTTCAAATTATATTGGATTGTATTGAAAATCATGAAAAAATTGTATATTTATGATTTTTTTAACAAAAAATATTATTTTTACCTTTTAGAATTGAGTTTAAATAACTATAATAATAATAATTAATTAAAAAATATTATTTTACTTAATAACGTCAATATAATAAATATATTTTTTTAATAAAAATTATTATTTTTAAAAGATTAAATGGATTCTTAAGAACCAAAGCTAACAAAACCCTTTAGTTAATGTTGAACATGCGACAAATATCTCGTAACAAGTTGTTTTAATTAATGTTCAGCTAATCGCACATGCATTACGTGGTTTTAAATCTCACTAATTGCATAGACTGTGACGTTCCATCTTGAACAGTATGTAATGTATTATTAATGACTTAAGCTTTTGCATCCTATATTGTGGACATATCCATTTTCCGCTAATCAAGTTCAAACTTTTCCTTTCACAATAACATTTAAGAGAAAATGATTGTAAAGAAAAGACTCCTAAAAATAATTATATGGGACATTTAATATACTAATGTAGACTTTAAAAAATGATGGTCTTCATTATTATGTAAATTAGAAAAGGCCCCTTCATCCATTAATAGAAGTATATGATTTCTTTTTCAAATGTTATATGCGTAGTCTAATATAAATTTTTAAATATTGGTGTCCTAGACAAATATATATATATATATATATATATATATATATATATATATATGTGTGTGTGTATTTGTTTATGAAAGTAATTAAAATTAATATACAAATTATTTCTTGAATAAATTATACACAGTTCTATATACAACCACAATCGGTTATAATCTTAAAAATTGTTAACTTTTCTTCTATTATAAATTTTTTGCAGTTCAAAATAAAATTTACAATTGAGTTTTTAAAAAGCTGAAAATCCTATAATTTTAATAGATATAATAGCTGTTTTTGACACACTGAAACAGCTATGTATTGATTTTTTAAACTGAAAGTGATACTTATCAAACATAAGTTAACATAATTGAATTCCATAAACTACTATCCATTAGGCACAAGGTAATTTATACCCGAAAAATAAAAGAAAAACAGATGACATTTCATTCTCATTCTGCTTTGGCGTGTCCCCAGTGGCCAGACACATAAGAATGCATGCATGTTCATGAGCAAAAGTAAGCACATTTCAAAAGGTCAAGAGGTTCTGGAGTGAGCTTCCCCACTTTCCATTCACTTTGATCGCAGAAGTACATGCCTAATTCTCGAGAGTTGAAACTATGATCATTTTGGTCTATCCTTTAGCAGACAATTGATTAAGGGACGAGGTTGGGATCCATATACTTTTAAAATCCATATTAATGACTCAAAAGTGTTATATTTCTTCTTGCACATAATAACATCTATATAATAAGTTTTTATTAAAATATAATATAATTTAATGCATTAATATTATTAAATGCTATGATTTTTAATAAAAATATATAATATATATTCTTATTATGTGCAATATTTCACAATTTAGATAAAATGTTCTTAATTTTTTCTACAAAAAAAAAAAATCAACTTTTGTCTCCTCTAAAATAAAGAACTCCCTTTAAATGGTAAAGTGAGAATTTATAGACGTTGATTGAAAAATAATAATTGAAATTGTGACTAAATGCATGTACATTTGTAATACATTATGTTAAGTTTAAATCTTCACCATTAATATTTCAATCAATGAATATAACATTTCATGTTGCTCTTTAACGTAAATCTTCCACTTTGTTAAATCCAAAATTTTCTTGAGTGGCATTAATATAAATTCAAATACTTCTGTCATCCCTCGATTCATTTGATTAAATAACTACATTCTTTTCTTGTAATTTTTCTTTTCATTTTAATTAGGTGACACACAAAAGTGTTGCAAAAGCTAACAAGAAGAGAAGCAAAAAAAGTTTCTTTCAAGAATTCACTGCTTGTCTCATCCTTTCTTAGCTGCATGGTGGGAACCAAACACAAGCCACAATGTACGGTGTGATTGTTGAAATAAACTTGCCACTAAACAAGTTGAAGAAGGGAGAGATAATCAACAAGGCCAGGCCTACCACAAATAATTTTTATGACTTTCAAGTTTGGATATACAGTATACTATTTGGAGAGATGATCCCTTTGTCAAAAAATTTTCCTTTTAACTAAAAGTTTATAAAAGAAAGAAAAGTTGTTTGATTATTAAATTAGACATGCTAAAGGAATCAAACTTAAGACTATTTTTGTACCGTCCAAGTGTAGCAATATTATGTTCAATTGTGAAAGTATAGTTTACTGATTAAGACAAGGCTACTAATCAATACCAGGTAAAAGGACCGACTTTTATTTTCTCAGGTAAGCTCTAAACAAGTCAAAATTGAGGTACCAAAATCAACAGGCTATTCAATGCAATAAATGAAGTTTCTGACTTTTGAAACCAATTTGTGCAGAAGAAAACTACTTGTCAAAAACTGGGTTGCACTTGCACCCTCATTAATACATTGTGCTCATCTTACAAACATCTCAATGTGACTAGTACACGTTTCCTCTGTAGCCTCTCTGTCTTCACTGCCTATAAATTAATACAGGAAGCATATCAATATCAAATTGATATCAAGCTCATCAACTTAATTTACTAGAGATGAAATTAACTGTAACTGAATAATAAAATTTGTGTAAATATGAATAATATGTATGCATATGATGTAGGTGAATGCGTTATTCAAATTAATTTACATTATCGATCGGTTAGATGCTTTCATAGACTAGTCAAAATTCAAAATGAATTGAATGTCCATGTTGGTCTATTTTGACATTTTCATGTGACCAAATGATCTACACGGTGAAAACAAGTAAATCATCTCCTACATTTATTTTCTCTTTGATTTTTATAATGTGACATGTTTGGGACAAAGTAAGAAATTTGACCAAGAGCTGGATGCTACCCAGAAGGTGAACACTGGATAGAGTTGCAATAGTTTTATAAGTCCATGAATCCCTCTCCAAGAATTCAGTAAATCGCACTCCTTATGCTAAGAAATTTTGAAAACTTCGTGTTATTAATGCCAAACAATAGTAATTTCAGGCTAACAAGCTCATATGCTGTTAGCAAAACATAAAAAATAACTGAAGGTGAAGCAGGGGGATCTTAAGATATTATGTAAAGGAGATAACAAAAGATGAATTATATTAACATTATTTGTTGTGTATACATTTCTGTTAATCGAAACAGCCTCAAAGGCTAGAAGAACCCCAACTGGCATCAACAGCATTGATTATCTTTCTATGTAGTGTGGCTCCAGAACAAGCAACTATACCACGATCAAGGCCTTCTAAATATAAGCCTTTTGAAAAATCTAGGGGATGTCCTCCAGCATCTGTTACCATCCCACCAGCTTCATGTATGATAATAACACCTGCAGCATGATCCCATATTTTCTCCTTGTAACCAGCCCTTGCAAATTTCATGAACACCTCAGCATCCCCCCGAGCTATTGCTGCATATTTCACCATGCTGTATACTCTTAAGGGCTGTTTCCTGCACACATGATGAAAAAGAGCTATCTTATAAAGCTAGAAATATGCTAATAAATTTATGCTGTCTTGGTGCCTTTTTCCCCAAAGATTTTTTCGATTATTCATCATTTTTAAAGACATAAATGGGAATTTAATTAGTCCTTAAGTATGGAATATGCAACTACTAATCACAATTATATTCTGCCTTCCATCATATTTAATTGCCTCTTCATCTCAAGAGTATTTAATATGTATCTCGCATTGATTTGATAAGGATACTTGAAAGTAACAAAAGAAGATAGTCATATTTCCCATGCTAATAATGTTTATAGGATGACAATCACAAGAGTATAACTCGAGTAAATAGGAGAGGTAGAGAGTGATTGATACTGAAATGAAATGGAAAAATAAATGCACCTGAGACCAACACTGTCAGCCAGCCCTGCAGTAAAAGAATGGCTTGAATTGGCCTTCTCAACCGGTTCACAAAAAGTGGCCAGTGCAGGATTGTCAATGGAAGAAACAGAAACTCTTCTAGCATGGTTTGGCCACACAAACATCTTATTGACATGGAGCAGAGGTTGCATCCAAGCCTTCCCACTACCCCTTTTAGCATATAGCACACAACCTTTGTTCCAAGTTTCAGAAGTTGGAGGAGTCAACTTGGATACAATCCTATGATATCGGTGATGATAACTTAACCATTCCTTCCTCATTGGGTAGTTAGGACATCCAAGAACACCAAGTTTCACTTCTCCATCTTCTATGAGTGCTAGAGCTATAGCATATTGATCTCCACGTACAAAGCCTAACGTGCCATCAACAGGATCCAGTACCCAAAATCTTCCAGTGGAACCTCCAGTTGAGTTACAGCGACTAATGATTTCAAGAACTTCTGAAGTTCCAAGAGTTGATTTTGGCTTCTGAACTCCAAATCGAGGCGCTTCAGCTAGACATTCATTCACAGTCTTAACCACAGCTTCTAACAGTTCTGATGCATCAGCCTTGGAGAGAGTTTGAACATCTTCTTCAGCTACAATTGAGATATTTTCACACCCTAAACATTCTGACAACATCCAGCTGACAATTGCTTGAACACTCCAATCTATTTTAAATAGCATAATATAGGGTAAATATAAACACCATTTGTAAGCATGAATGTACCAATCAAGCCCAAAAATTTTTCTTCACAAAACTCAAGACAAATAGGCTTCAACCATCATATGACAGAAGTGGTCAAGAAATATAATCAAGAACACAGAATAAATTTGATGATAGATCTTTACTTAAGAAAATCAAACCTATGATTATGCATACATTGGAACTTTAGAAGGAGAAAACAGAATAAGGTATATGATAAATTATACTGTGAAGATCAAGACTAATTCAGTGTATTTCCAATTTGGTCTTACCAGTAATTTGAAAAATTACCTCAACATTTTCAATAGAGAACAACATCATCAATCTTTTGGAAAAATTCTATTCTTTCCAAAGCAGGATGTTACTTCCAGAGTCCTAGATACTGCTACTCTAGAAAAGCATCCAAGCAAGGTGTTTAACAGGACAAGGGCCTACAGCCGCTATTTGGTGGCGCAGTATATGGCCTTCCAAGAATCTTTTTGATAGACATCCAAAGGGATCATAGACCCTTCTTTGTTAAAATCTTGAAAAACATTTTTTCCTCCTCCAATGTTTTTGTTTTTTGGATTATTTTAATAGGATACTTATCCTTCTCCTTTGCGGTCATTCTTTTTGTTTTGATATAATTTCTTATTTTGCTAACAACAAGGAAAATAGTAAGTTATAGATATCGCTGTCCTTTTCTTGGAGGGTAGGGTAGCAGTGAGCAAAATAAGAAAAGCCAAATATCCATGTATCTGACGTGGTGTAACCAAGACTGAGGTAAAATAATACATTTTTAAGTATCGGGTAAATAAATCGTTTCAGTCAAAAGTGGTTTGCTAATGGAACAAGATGATGCCATTGAAGTCACCGTTTAGAATTATATATTGCAGAATATAAACCAAAACTGAATCACGCGCCTTCCTACCTGGAAGCCACATAAAATATAGGGAAAATTGAAATTGAAACGGGCAATTGAGTTAGGTTCATATCTCCTGGAAAAAATAAAAATTTTATGGCAGATTAACCAGCTGATCAAGCCAATATATGGACTCCACAGAGTGTTCTCCTTGCACTTATTCCATGACCCTTGTCTCCACCTTATTGGAAACCACTTTACAAAATCAGTGGTAATAATACCAAGGTTCTATCCAATCATACACCCTTTTGATCGCAGTAATATGTAGTCCTGTTTGACAAAAGAGAGCCCAAGAAAAGAGTTTGGAAGGCAGCTTGTTTCACCAACCGCATTACTTCCCTTTATTAGAAACGTGAACCTTCGAAAATCCTTGAACCCTCCAAATTCAAAAGTCACTTTCCATACCAATGATTTTCTCTTGACTTAAAGCCAGTTTAGAAAATAAGTATTGATTTGGTTATGTCCTTGTGTATCAGACAAGGATTGCATTCCTCTCTCTATTGATTTGGTTATGTCCTTGAGTCTTTTTGGCCTTCAAGAACCAATGAACAAGCCACTTGTCATAATTTGACTAGACATGTTTGCAACTTAGGCAAAGGCCACAAGCCTTGTACAAAAAATTGTAAAGTCTCCTCACAATTTAGTTATTTAACATACCAAAACTATAACCTCAAAAGTTGCCGCAAGATAACGTAAACTATCTTGATTAAAATTAATGTTTCCTGTTTGATTAAAAAAATATATCCAATGCACAAATCCAAATAAACCCACGTGGAAAATTTTAAACCCATTTGCCTTTTTTTTTTTTTTTAAGTATTAGCCCCAGCAAGTACCAACAATGAATTGAGAGCAAAAAGAAGAGCTTTACTAGAATTACCTGCAACTGTAACAGGAGATTTGTCATCTTTGGAGTGCACCTGAAGATGATTAGTGGCAGTCTTGGAAATCAAAGTGTCCTGCACTCTCTGGCAGAGGGAACATGCCATTTGCACTGCTCTCACAGCAACCTCCAATTCCTTGGAATTCACCTCTGCCTCAGAGAGAAGACCCAAGTTTTTGTGTTCATCTTCCATCACAGGAGAAGAGCAAATTTGGTCCAATTTTGATACAAAACCAATGCGCTGCGTTGAGAGTTTGAAGGGCACTTTATAGATGGAGCAAAAACCTCGTTGTCTTACTACATGGGTAAGTGTGAAGGCATCAGCGTACACCTTCCTCGTACGTGGGAGTTTTGTACCCAAGCTTGAACAATGTAATAAAGACATTATAATGTCAAGTAGACAACAATCTCTATCTCACTCTCCCAACCTTATCAATATTCAATTGTGATTTTTCCTTTCCTTTTTTACTGTTTTTATTTTGATGTTGAAACTTGAAAGGGAGAGAAGCAAAAATAAATTGGGATATTGGGATTTTATAGATACATTGGAGCAATGATGATAGATAATGAACGAACATAACCAACCCTATTTGTCAGAGCTTACCGTGTCAATAGGGCTGCTTCTATTTTTTATTTTTCTTTTTAATTTGTGGGGTATCAAGTTAAAGTGGATTTGTTTTTATTAGTATCCATTTTTGAATGGTCTTTTTTATTTTATTTTTAAATATATATTCAACACTGACTCTTTTGTTGATTAGATGACGGTACAGATATACTTATTATAAGTTGGTGTAAAATTTACACCCTTAGTTCGTTTGATAATTTATTTTATAAAATAGAAAATTAAACAATCTGGTAGGTAAATTATTTTATATTATATTTAGGATGATATATATCCAATTTTATATAATTTAGATATTTATAAATATATTATTTAAAATTTGATATTTATTTATATTTTTTTATTAAAATAAATTAAAATGATAAATTATCTATTAATTTTTTATTTTTTTATATAAAATGAATCTATTTGATAAAAAATTTTAAATTAATGATTAAAGCTACCAATTTTATATAAAATTATTAAATGATGTAAGTGTCTAAATTTAGTATAAATATATGTTTTTTTCTATTATAGGCCTTTATTATTATCTTCCAAAAAAATATAATCCCGACAATGGTAAAAATACACCCCTCTGAAAATATAAATCACTAAACATGCCACGGCCAATTGTATTTTACTTAATCCCTCAGATTCATTTTAAGTATTATTTTATTATTTTTTAATTCATTTTAAATTATTTTATTTTAAAATATTTAAAAAATATTTCTTTTTCTTTTCAATAATATTCATATTTATTAGAGATCTTTTTTTGTCAACTAATGATTAAAATAACTCTAAATTTAATTACCCCTTGATTATTATAAAATGTAACAATAAAAATATATTATTAAATTAATTTATTTTATCATAATAATTAATAAAACCTATAATCTTTTTAAGTAGCATATAATACGAAAAGAGAGTATTGTTTAATGAAGCTTCTGTTTTTTTTTCATTTGATCCAAACGGCACAAAAACTGTACCTCGATGGGGGGGAAAGGTGACATCATGATCCAATCCAATTATGCTCAGCCCCATTGGTGTTTTATTTTTTGGGTCAAAATGCTCAGCTTCACTTCTTTTCAAACCCTGCCAAATTACTTTAGGTGTGTGTTATTTTTTTATAGTACTATACTTACAAAATTTATATTAATAAAAAAAAAATGTGACAAATTAAAAAACTATTATTATATATAATTTATTTAAAATTATATTATTTATATTATTTATTATATAATTATATAATTATATATATTGTATATTAAATTTTTTATTTTATTTTTTATCATTTTTTATAAATTTTTAGTTTTAAATAAAATATATTTTATATTTAAGTAATTTCTATTTATTATAAAATAATATATTAATATAATAATAATAAAATTAAGAATATTAAAAATATATTAATATAATATTATTATTTTATTTTAAATTTTAGTTTATTTATTTTTTATTACATCATAACCACTTTTCAACTTGTTTAAATATAAAAAAAAAAAAAATTTATTATTAAATAAATTTATTAATTAAATACATATAAATATTATTAATTATAATTTTTTATGTATGATATTCTAAAAAGTTTTTAGAGTACCACAGAATTTATCATCACTTTATTCATAGATAGCATCTTTAGGGTCTTCTTCTCCCTCACATGAAAATTTTTCTTTTCTCTTGTAGTAGTACTAATAATAATAATTTTTCTTTTATTATTATTATTATTATTTTAGTCATATATAATAGATTTTTTTATTTAAAGTTTTTTTTATCATCTTTCTTCTATTTGATTATCTCTCCTTTTATCATTTATCTTATTTCTCTTTTTCTTTTATTATATTTAAATCTTTTCTTTCTTGCATTTAAACTTATTAAAATTACCTTCAAGACATGTACTAATTTAGCAAAAGAAAAATATTTTTGTAGTCGAGTTTCTTCTACAAGAAAAGTAAGAGATATATTTTTATTTTTATTATGTTTAGTATTCAGAGGACTACTAAATTGTGTTTGGTATTAAACACGCTTAGATAATATTTTATTGTGCATTTATTATATATTATTTTAACTCATATATTTACCATCTTTAATTTTAAGTATCTAATTTTTTTAGTAAATACTTTAAAAAAAAATTCCATAGCACTTCACCACTTCTGAAGCGTTGTTCTCCTCACTTCATCCTAGAAATTTATTTGCTTAACCATATTTTTAATTCTTGTATTTAGTAAATTTTATTTTTAATTTTGATATCTTTTTTAATTATTATATTTTGGTAAATTGTTATTTTTAATCTCTATTATTAACATATTCAACAAAAAGGCGGCATGTGATAACTTTCTAATAAACCATATTTATAAATTTATAAAAAAAAAACACAAAGATTAAACTGATTTTTTGAAAAATATAATGATAAAAAACATTTTATTTCTTTCTTGTGAACAACAGAAATAAAAGTTAGCACATTGCAGTCCGAAATTGAATTGATGGGACAGCGAAGGTGTGAAAATATTAGGGGTTACTGCCTTTGGGTGTGGGCCTGTGGGGTGTGCGGGCACTTTCGGTCAACACAAATAGAGTAAAAGCATGCTTGGGTCTGCACCTACACATCTTGGCCTTACAATCAATTCATGGTAAAGATTTTCGATAGTTCAACCTCATTTCCATTAAAATTAAAAAATAAATTTAACTATTTTTTTATTTAAATTAATATTTTAACAGTAAAACAAATAAACATGAAGTTTAGAGTAAAACTCTGCCACCGTTTTGGAAGAAGGAAGAGAGGGTTTCTTTTCATTTTGGTAAAAAAGGATTTGTCGTGTAATTGAGTCAGCTCATAAACACATATGTTACCAACCGTTCGTGTAACCATAGTCATAACTGGATCTGATTGATCACTCTCTCTTAGCCGCATTCTGAACTATAACCAATCAATTTAGTCATTTGGGTCAATAATTATGGCTAATGACAACCACCACCACTTAATGGGGAGCTAGTTAAGACGTAAAAGTATCCAAATTCAAGATTTTGGTCTGTGATTATGTGACATAGCCAAAAGCTCTTTTATATTACGTTTTTTTCATGATTGATGACAACAATCCTTGGATTTGTATTTTGGTTGAGCTAGCTAGATTGATGTTTGTGATTTGAAATTCCATCTGTTTTTCTTGGACGATTTGCAAATCAACACTGTAACTTGATTTACGACCTGCTTATATTTTTGTGTTTTTCTTAAGAAGAAAACAGTTCATACAACACTCTTTTCTATCGTATTTTTTTAATACACTTCGTGATCAGTTTGATTTTTTAGCAAACCAAAACAATATATAAAAAGTAGTTAATTTATATTACCAGGGCGTAGTATTTTAATATGTGATTTTGAATTTAAATTTCAATAAATGGAGTTATATTAAATAGTTGAAGGAAGATTTATATATACATTCTCCGGTTGAGCAAACTTGTAATTCTCAGGTAATACAAACCGACTTTGAACACACTATTGCATGTGCGTGCGAGAGTCTGAAAGGAAGAAAAACGCAAATCGTAGCCAAAACCGAAAGATAAGAACACTGAAAATGCTGAAATTTTTGGATAACCTGAAGATTATGGTCAGAGCGTTGCCCCTGTTAGGTTCAAACGATAATGATCGATGTAAAGCGCTTCTTACTTTTCAGATAAGCGATTCTTGCATGACGTAGAGCATATGGATGTATGATCTCATCCATTTCCGATTAACTGTAAATTTATTCTGCATAGACTATTCATCAATGTAAGAAATTTATTTGGTACATCACATAAGAATAATTTACACCAATATATTTTCTGTAAGAAGATGAAAATGGGAAGTGGGATCTCCGTATACTGAAAATAATCAAATTATCTCAATTATATATACACATATATAAATAATCTTTTCTCTTTTCCCTCAATAATAATATATTTTTAAAAAGATAAGGTTATAATATACACGCTTACGTGTGTTTAGTAGACATAGCCTTGAAACACAACTACTACGTAACATTTAAAACTAACTCCTCAAATATATAAAACCTTTAATTATTTAAAAGTGAAATGTAAGAGTTAAAACATCACCTTTTTTTTACATTATTCTAATAAAAAAACTCAATTTTATTGTTTAATTTTATTTTTATCATTATTCTTGTTATTGTTATTGTTATTTATTATTGTTGCAGTTTTAGAATTCTTCCAAGAATTTGCAAAAAAATTGAAAAAAAAAAGAAAAAAAAAAAACCTTGCAACAGGGATTCTGGAACAAAGATATACAAAGGATGCTTCCGTCCCAACATTATTCTAAGATGTCCTTTTTTTTTCACACTCCTATTAAAATTTTTGTAATATGAAAGTGTAGAATTCCAATTTTTTAAAACTTATTTTTAGAGATGGTTAATAATTCTGAAAATTAACTTTCAATCTATAAAATCATAATTCTGAAAACTTATTTTTGAAAGAGTACAAATATTAACAGGTTGATAGAGGCTGACAAATATGTTGTTTTTTACAATAAAATTGTTTTTTTTTTATAATACATTCAAAATAATAAAAATGCCTTAAAAGCAATGATACTTAGACTATGATAAAGAAACAATGATTGCTTGAAGTAATAAAGAAGAAAAATGAAAAAGTAGTAAAAATAAAGAGTAAAATTCTAAAAGAGAAGAAAATTATTTTAGAATTTGAAAAAATTATAATTATTAAAATTATTGTTAAAGGTATTTTAAGAAAAATAGTTACATAAATTTCAATGAGTTCAATTCAAACCCACTAACTTAATTTGATCCATTCAAAATTAAAAAATTAAAGTTTTTGAAGTAATCCAGTTAAATTGGGTTTAGAAATAATGTAACTCAATCATTATAAGATTGATCGACCAAAAAACACCATTATAAGATTGAGTATCAGGTTGTGTGTCTATAGATGC